ATTCTTTTTTTCATTTACAGATTACGACTTCATTTATATTAAAAAAAAAAAAAACTTTGTAAGATTTTGATAAGAAAAAACTACAATCGTGCAAATAAACTAACAAAAGAAATTACAAATGGAAAGAATCGAATAAAGTTTTTTTCAAATTCCATGCACGATGAAGGACAAAAAGATGGAGAAGAATGTATGCTTTCTCATAATTTGACCATTCTCCATTTGTTAATTATTGTTGCTAGTATTATAAGAACTAAAAATTTGCTCTTTTTTTGGTTAGAAGTAATCTTTTTGGTTGGTTGCAAAATTAAATAACTTTTGACAGCATTTTTTTTTAAAAAAAATTTTTAATCAATCATTACATTTCAGAAAATAAATAAAATATTTCACACCCTCTTACCCAACCGTCGCTTTGGCCGAGTGGTTAAGGCGTGTGCCTGCTAAGTACATGGGATTTTCCCGCGAGAGTTCGAATCTCTCAGGCGACGTAAAATTTTTGTCAACTTTGCCCTTGATAAGTGGTCCCCTAACTAAGCCACCCGAAGGTGCCCCAAATTCGACGTACATTAACACTGACCCAAACCGGTCACACCTGACCGGGTCAGTCAAGTCCACTCTCCGAAAGATGGTCCAAATTCTAATAATTAATTAAATACGTGCACGTGGATGGCGTTTAGAGGACCAAAAAGGCCCGAAGTCGCATTTGGCGCCATTTCTTTAAGTTCTTTTTTTTTTTGTCCACGTGACTGAAACTGGGGATTTCTTAGTGTTTGAATTCTTACCTTACTTTTTTTTTTAGCCACTAAAATTCAAAGGAAGTTGAAGATTTCTTCAATTATTCTTTTAGATTTTGGCAATAAATTGTCACTTTTAACCCCAACCCTTTCAACTTGTTCTTCGAAAAGTTGGAGGACTATAATGTCACTTAACTATTTAGCTAGGATCTATATTTTTTTAGCGTTGCTATTTGTATTCCAACTCCTTTTTTATACTTCACTACGATTAATATCTGATTTTTTATTTTACACATACCTAATTCAAAATACAAAATTTATCAAAAATCCCATCTTCTTACATCTCATCTCTTCTCTCTTCTCAATAAAAAATCTAATGGATTTTAAGTCTCAATCAAATTAAATTAAAATTTTTTTTTACCTATATGAAGTTAAAAAAGTATAAAATTAAAGGTAAATTGTTTTTTTTTTGTATTTTTTATTTAATTTTGTATTTAATTTTATAAGATTTCATATTGAAATATTTAAATACAATTCAAAATTTTGAAAATTTTTTAAGATTTTTGAAAATAAATGTCAATAATCTTTTAAAATTTTTTGAATATCCATTTTCAAAAATTTTAAGAGTTTTTAAAAATTAATTTTTAAAATGAGATGTGAAAAATAAAAAGATAATTGAATAATGAAATATTTAAATAATTTTATTAAAGTTGTATTTTTTTTTTCATATCAGTGTGACCAAACCAACCTTTTTTTTTTTAACCTATAAAAATGTGTTTGTTATTTAAAAGAAGACTGTGATTTAAGGTAAGAGAAAAAATTATTGATATTAAAATTTAAAATTTGAGATTATAAATTATTATAAATAATTATATAAATTAATTAAATTAAACGTTGAATTTTAAAAATGTGATTTTGACTTATAATTGTTTTGGTACAAGTTGATAATTCAGCCTACTTAAAAGGCAATTAATGTTTTAGCTAATTTTTGAATAAAAAGGACTTTCTTTTGTCTAGTTGTTTAGTGCAATTAATTTTATTTGACATTCGAGTTTGCAAGTACCAAATGAAATAAAACGAGTTTACGAACACTTCATTTTTTTTTTTATTTTTATTTTGCTAAGGGGTAATAAAAAATCAATAAAAAAATCAATCAAATTAGTATTATTTTTATGATAAAACCTATACATAAACAGTTATTTTTCTTTAAAAAAAAAAACAAATTTATGATGCTTTATATGATTTTTTTTCCTTCCAATATACCTCTTGCTAGTCAAGATCATGACGACAGCGTTTCGTATCTGCACATGAAATAACAAATTACTAAGAAAAGAAATGTGAAATATAAATGATGAAAAGGTCACATGAGGCCGTCCTATCATAAGAAACTAGAGTCCCCACCGAGTCACTTCGCTAACCCAAAAACAAAAATAATAAGAATCAACAAAGCCAGAAAAATCTTACAAAGTCATTTTTTGTGATAATAATTCATGTATTTTATTGAAGTTTAAAATTTAATGTTTTTATTATAATTTATATAAATATAGTTAATATATTATTTTGATTTGATAATTTTAATCTAATAATTAATTTTATCAAAATTTTATCGTGAAAAATATTGATATGATAATTAATTTGATGATATAAGTGTTGACATGATATATGAATGAGTGAAATTTATGGTAACTTTATACAAATAGTCTTTATACTCGAAAAATTATTAAATTTTATGTAAATATAAAAATTATTTATATAATTTAATAATTAATTTTATTTATTTATATTATCACATTAGTAAAATAATCACTTACGTAATAAAATTAACAATTATGTCAATATTTTTAACAGTAAAAATTTAATAACATTAATAATTAAATTAAAATTATCAAATTAAAATAATATAAAAATAATATTTTTATAAATTATAATAAAAAGATTAAATTTTAAATTTTGATAAAGTAAAAAAATTATTGTCATAATTTAACTTTAGAAAAAAAAAAGTCATACATTTACATTTGAATTTGAATTTAACTAAAATTTCTGTTTGGACCAGCTCTATACCTGATAGGCTCGTGGCAGGCTGCAGCCTATGTAGAAAAAAACTTAGTTTGATGAGATTGAGAGGTGAAGAATTGAAGCACCCAAAGGAATACCCCAAAGGCACAAACGCGTAAACAAAGTCAAATTATAATAATAATTTATATATTTTAATGAAATTTAAATTCTACTATAACATTGATTATTTTGATGTGACATTAAATTAATCAAATCAATTATAAAATTATATAAATAATTTTTATATTTATATAAAATTTTAATTTTAATCTTTTTAAAATAATTTATAAAAATTTTATTCTCGTACAAATTGAATTTGATAATTTAATCTAATTACTAATGAATCAATTATTTTTCATTTTTGGAAATATTTTAATTTTTTAAAAATCATATTTCTTGAAATTTTTTAACAATTAACTCTCCATTTAAAAAACAAAATTTTGAATTATATAGAATTTTTCTAATTTTAAAATATTAATCTAATTTTTTATATTTTAATTTTAAAAAATAATATTTCTAGAAATTATACAAAAAATCAGATTTCATTTTTTTTAAAAAATAATTTTTAATTTTTTATATTTTTAATAAAATTAGAAATTTTAAAAATATAAAATATTTTTAATTTTTAAGGATATTTTGTGATTTTTTAATGTATTAGATTTAATATTTTTAAATTAAAGAATTGGAAAAAATTCAATTTAATATTTTAAAAAATTGGTAAATTTTAAAATTGAAAACGATTTTTTTTAAAATTGAGATATAGTTTGTTAAAAAATAAAAGAAATAATATTTTTTAAATTAAAATATTTTCAAAAATAAATTTAGTATTTTTAAAAAACTGAATAAAATTTTTAAATAATTCATAATTTTTGAATTTTTTTAAATTAAAATATTATTTTTTAAAAAAAATCAAGAAATATTATTTTTTAAGATTAAAATATTAGAAATTTTAATTTAATATTTTTTAAATATTTAAAAAGCTTAAAAATTCATATTTTTATTTTTTAATTTTTTAAGATTTTTTGCAAATTTAAAGACTTTTTAATATTCATATGTTTTTATAAAAATAAAATGATTACATCAACAAAGTTAATGAGAGTAATTGATCTCATTAATAATTAAATCAACATTATTAAATTTAACTTTATGAGGACGAGTTTTTTATAGATTATATTAAAAAGACTAAAATTCAAATTTTATATGAGTATAAAGATAATTTGTACAATTTGATTAATGATTTCATTTATTTCTATTTTCATGTAAAAAAGTCAACGTCATGTTAATAAAGTCAATGTTTATGTAACTAAATCAATGATCATGTCAATGTTTTTAATGATAAAAAATTATTGAAATTAGCAATTAAGTTAAGTTAGAGACTAAGAGATCGTTGGGTAACGTTTTCGTTTTCTGTTTTCTGTTTACATTTTCTACTTTTTTTTTAAATTAAAAAAAAAAAACATTACGTTTGGTAAGTTGTTTTTGTTTTTTAGTTTTGAAAATTGAAAACAAAATTTTGGAATGTTTTGGAAATTATTGAAAATAGAAGAATAGTATTTTTAGTTTTTTGAAAATAATTTGATATTGTTACTATACAGGCACCGTTTACATAAATTATAATTAAACTGTTACAGTGATGCTACAATTATTATATTAATAAAATAATAGTTTTATTATATAAATATTATATTAATAAATAAAATATTATACAAAAATAATATTATATTAATAATATATCATTAATCTAATTTATTAATTAATAATATTTTGATATATTAAAAATAATAATTTAATAAATAATATTATAATATATTAATGAATATTATTATATTAATATTATATACTATTAATAACAAACTGAGTTTAAAAACTTAATCATTTTCTTTTACATATTTTTAAAATAAAAATATTTTATCCAAACATATTTTTAAATTTAATAAATTAAAAAAAAAACAAAATAAAATAAAATAAATATTTAAAAAATATAAAATATGAAACATAAATAACATCAAACGATACCTAAATTTTAAATGTGTTGGAGTATAGTAATCATTACCATAATTTGACCCGTAAACAACCAAGACACAGCCAGGGGCACAGCCCAATTTTTTATGTTTCCATTCAAATTCTGGCGTAACTGTCGTATTTCCACCTGTCGTCGCTGAACCCCCACGCGACCACCCTCGGCGCAGCTATAAATACTCTTCCCCAGCCCAAAAGCAAACCATCCATTCATTTGCTTCTCTATTTTTTTTCGTTACAAGAAAGGTTTTTCTCCCAGCATATGTCTCAAAGGCCTATCATCCCTCACTCTTCTTTAATAGCTTTTGGTCTCCATTCCCATCTCCTGGTTTCCAGTGAGATGAACCCCAATTCCAACTGGTCTCAATAGTTTCATTTTTTTTTTACCATAATTCCATATTTTTTTCTTTAACAAAATCCATCACTTTAATTCATTCTTTTGAATTTTAACAAAGATCACTTCAAATGGGAGTCAAAGGTTTTGTTGAAGGAGGCATAGCATCAATTGTGGCCGGATGTTCCACCCACCCGCTTGATTTGATCAAAGTCCGAATGCAACTCCAGGGTGAAACCCATGTCCCGAACCCGCCTGTCCAAACTCTCCGCCCTGCTTTATCCTTTCACCCAACCGCCACCTCCCCTGCTGTCCACATGCCACCTCCCCCACCAACTATGGCAGCGCGTGTTGGACCTGTGGCCACCGGAATCCGGATCTTCCAAACTGAAGGCGTGACAGCTCTTTTCTCCGGTGTGTCGGCCACCGTCCTTCGCCAGACCCTCTATTCCACCACCCGCATGGGACTCTACGACATCCTGAAACAGAAATGGACGCACAAGGAGACGAAAACCATGCCTCTGTCGCGGAAAATCGCCGCTGGATTAATCGCCGGAGGGATCGGCGCAGCTGTCGGCAACCCAGCCGATGTGGCAATGGTTCGCATGCAAGCTGACGGACGTCTCCCTTTATCCCAACGCCGTAACTACACCAGCGTTGTCGATGCTATCACTCGCATGAGTAAACAAGAAGGCGTTACCTCCTTGTGGCGCGGGTCATCGCTTACGGTTAACCGAGCGATGTTGGTGACAGCATCGCAGCTGGCTTCTTACGATCAGATCAAAGAAATGATTTTAACAAATGGGTTGATGAAAGATGGGCTTGGGACACACGTGACAGCGAGTTTTTCCGCAGGGTTTGTCGCAGCGGTGGCGTCGAATCCAGTTGACGTGATCAAGACAAGGGTTATGAACATGAAGGTGGAGCCTGGGCAAAAGCCGCCGTATGCTGGCGCTTTGGATTGTGCTATCAAGACAGTTAAGGCCGAAGGGCCCATGGCTTTGTATAAAGGGTTTATACCAACGATCTCGAGACAGGGACCGTTTACAGTGGTGCTTTTTGTTACGTTGGAACAGGTTCGGAAGTTGCTTAAGGATTTTTAAGGTATTAGCGACGAAAAAGATGATGATGAAAACGAATCTTAGGAATTCTATGTTTTAAGTTACAGTAATATTATTTTCCAGTTTTCCATGGAATTTGGAAGCTGAGCTTGACTTTGCTTCTGATTGTAAGAGAATGTTTAAGTCTGGTATTCTTATTTTAATAGTCATATCATCATATAATATTTTCTCTTACAAAATTGGCAGCTAATGTGGTCGTTTTGTTTGGTGTTGTATAACTTTTGCTTCTGAAATTCTAACCCAGAATTTTTTTTGTTAAATAACCCAAAGTGTTAGCCTAAGATATTATACTGTGTAGTTTTTCAATTTTTTATGTGGAATATTACAATTTTGAATTCCAAAAACAATAATACCATAAATTATACAGGGCTGATCAAAATCTCAAATTTACATGAGTTTATTACTCTAAGCTTAAAATGGTGCAGCCTGAATTAAGTATTACTAAGATTTTTTGAAATTAAGGTTTAATTCAAGCGTTTCACCCGTTCAACATACGGGGTTAAATTTCAAATCCAGACTATTATAACTCTTAATTCAAGCGTTTCACCTGTTTAACATAGGCTATGAGTTACTAATTTATTATTTATTTATTATGATTGTTTATTTATCTGTTACTCTTAGATGACATCTATTTTACTCAAATGATCAAAAATCTGTACATGAAATTGGTGAAATGGGCTAGATTGGTGGTTAAAAATTTGAAGAATATAAGGAAATAAGAGGTTTTAGAGGCAACTTCTTTTGCTTACCATATGGAGCACCTTCCTTTTTTTTTTTTTTTTTTTTTAAATTAACAAGGAAAAGGTTGTATACATATGCAACAAAAGATTTTATAAAATGATTATTTCACGTCAATATATCTTTTTCATTTAAATTATGTCAAGTAATCAAATTACTAAAAAAATAATTCATTTATTATAATTATATATACGAATTAATTAGATAAATATTTATCATTTAATTATTACATATAATATGTAATAGATAATTAATTTTTTTAATAATGACATAATCTAAATGGAAGTGATATATATTAACATTAAGTAACAATTTCATACAATTTTGTTCATACATGTAAAAATATATATACATATGTACATAATTTTCATATTAACTTATTTAACTTAATAAAAGAAGTCATCTTGTTCATTTATTTTCAAAAATGCAGTAAAAAAAAAATTGTGTACATATGTATTTTTACGTGTATATATAGCATTATCCAATTAACAATAACCTAATATAATAGTTTAAAAAAGCAATAGCCTAATATAATGTTTCTTTTGAGAATAACCTAATATAATTAGTGTCCAATCCATTAATCAATACGCGGCGGAAAAGTTAACTGAAGGGCACTAATCGTTTTGAGCAAACAAACACATAGATCTTAATCAATTGATGGTTGATGCAGGATAGGTTTGAATTAACGACGACTAAAGACAACGCCACAAGAGCTCGTTGCAAGAAAGAACTTGAAGCTTTCAAACGCGTTGTCCAAAACAATGAGATCTGGCGTCGCTAATTAACCAATATCAGACTTGAGTTTTGGTCTATTAATTTAGCAATCAATTCTCACTCGTGCTCGTGCAAGAAGCCAGAAATGTAGATTCATTTACATTTTTGGGTCCTATGTGGGATTGAAAGTCTTTTCCCTTCGCTAGCGAGTATATAATTTGAGATTTAAACAAAAGCAACGAAGTTTACGCTCCTTCCTTTTGTCACTAATTAATTATTACATGTGATTATTATGGGAATGAGAATTATACTTGAAGCTTCATTTTTTAACATTAAAACTTATTTTATCCTTTATTTATTGCAAGAATTACAAACATAGAGAATTTGCATAAGCAAAAACCTGACGAGTAATTGTAGCTGTTTATTTATTTTGTCGCTATACACAAAAGTGTCGGTGTTAGTATCTTTAGTTTCAACCTTGATGTCTGGTCTCAATAACTGACTGAAATGTCTGAAATTTTTATTTGATGTGGATGCTACTTCCACCACAAAATAGAAAAGAAAAAGAAAAAAAAAGAGCCGAATGTCAAACAGTTCTCCAATTTCATTTTCCTTTATTCGCCATTGGCTCGCTTAATTATTACATAGAATTACGCGCAAACATCTTTATCCAAATACGACACCAAAAAGAAATCAGGCGAATGCTAAGAATATTCTTGTTTTTTGGATAGAATCTGGTCGAGTTGTGTTCTTCCTATACTTTGCTTAGTAGTAACAAGCTTTGGTCGGCACATGAACCTGTCCAAAGAAGCCTATGGATGGGAGACAATGATCGTGGGGGCATTAATCACGCCTAGCTTTGCTCATCACTCACCGAGTAACTTTAGGACAATGATATGGCACCATTTGCGCATTTAAAAACCTTGGTTGAGAATATTTTGGACCTAATAAAGTTTTCAAGCAGCATATTTTCTTTGTTTTACAATGTATGTGGACTGTGGTCGCCTCCATTAGTTTTATAATTATTATTTTTATTCATTCGATTATCATTTTCTATTTTTATAAAATTTATTTGCAAATTATGAATCTTAATGTGAAAGGTTAGATTAATCACAAATAATATATATATTTTTTAATATCACTATAGCTCTGATATCGTTTGTTAGGTAAAAAACTTCTAATCAATCAAGTCAACGGAAGTCAAATCAAACAATTGATCAAGTATATAATAAACATCAATTTAACGTAATTCGATCCAATTAATCTATGTTCATAAATGAAAAAAAAATTATTAATTGTAGAGAATTACAAATAGACAGTTCATATCAATGAACACTCAACAATCAATATTCATAAGATCCTCTTAATCTCTTATAATCTTATGAACATTCAACGATTAATATTCATAAGATCCTCTTAATCTCCTCTAATCTTATGAAATATTATCAATCCAAATAAACGCATATCTATATATACTCATGCACTCATACTTATGTAAAGCCTTTAAATCTTCTATAATCCACTCCAATATACATATTCATACCTATTTGGACTTTTTCAGTCTTTTATGGTCCACTCCAACATACACATCCATAAAAATGTTAATTTTCGTTAGTCATATAAGGTATCTATCCCATAAAACCCTACAACCTTCTTATATTTTTTTCTCATACTTAACATTTCTTATATCTAACTTTATAAAGATTTCACCTATTTATAAGTATATAAACTTACCTGTTAAAAATTTTTTTTCTTTTATGATTTTTTTTGTAAATTTTTTTATTTATAAAATAATATCTAATCAATTTTGAATAAATATGTTATGAAATTTGAGTTACTATTTTTAATATTTTTTTATCTTGTTAATAATCGTATATAACGAAGGCAATTAATTTGTGAGACATGATCTTGTTTGGTCCTTTTTGTCTCGCATGTATTTATATGCAATAATCTAGGATTCAAATTCTAGCGTATGTAATATTTTTTCTATTGCCAAATCGCTAACTCTTGAAAAAAAGTTTTGTTACTTGGATTGGTACTGTGGATGGTATGAAAGATGTAATAGAACATATATGGTTAAGTCGCAATTGTATTTTTGATACTTAGGTTTGTTGGGCTAAAAGCCTCCAATCCAATCACACCAGCGGAAGCGAAATCAAACAATAAATCAAACACACAAGAGACAACAATTTAACGTGGTTCGGTCCAACTGACCTACATCCACGGATGAGAAACAAGATCCACTAGTTGTAGAGAATTACAAACATACATCAAATCATCAACCTCACTTAACAATCAATACTAATAAGACACTCTCAATCTCCTCTAGCCCTATAAAGTATTCTCAATCCAAACAAACACAAACCCAAACCCTTGTGCACTCTTTCAACATAACCGAATACATACCCATATGCTCCCATACATCATACCTATGTAGACCCTCTCAGTCTCCTCTAATCCACTCACAAACAAACATACACACACATAAGACGTAGAGTCCCAATACTCCTATGAGGTGTCTATCCCACAAAACCCTACCACTCTCTTACATCTTTTTTTTTCATACCTAACCCTGTAAAGACTTCACCTATTTATAATCATATAAACTTGCCCATTAAGAATCTCTCTCCTCTTAGAATTCTTCTCCTATAAGTCAAACTTGCCTATTAAGAATCCTTTTCCTTTCAGAATTCTTCTCTTACAAGTCAAACTTACCTATTAAGAATCCTCTTTCTCTTAGAATTCTTCTTTTGTAAGTCTTCTTGTCTATTAAGCAATATCTAACAAATCTTTAACAAATCTCAAACAAATCTCTTATGGGATTTGAGTCAATATTCCCAACAATCTCCACATTGGCTCAAATTTCATCAATCATCTGTCTTCATGTTAGATATGCTTGGCTCCACATGTAATGGAAGTCTCACAATCATTTTCTCTTCTCTTGTGTTCACGTTTCATACAAATAAATCCTCAATCTTCAAAACTTAAACTTGAACTCTTCTCTCGAATCGAGCTCTTTTGGACTTACTTCTTCCCATGTCTCAAACCATGCACTTCTCATACTTAAACCTTTAGCTCTTCTCACATCTCGAACTTTCAGCTCTTTCACATCTTAAACCTTCAGCTTTTTTCATATCTTGAATTTTCAACTCTTCTCACGTTTCGAACCTTCAGCTTTGATATCACTTGTTGGGGAACACCACAGCTCTGATACCATTTGTTGGGCTAAAAGCCTTCAATCCAATCACATCAGCGGAAGCGAAATCAAACAATAAATCAAACACACAAGAGACAACAATTTAACGTGGTTCGGTCCAACTGACCTACATCCACGGATGAGAAACAAGATCCACTAGTTATAGAGAATTACAAACATACATCAAATCATCAACCTCACTCAACAATCAATACTAATAAGACACTCTCAATCTCCTCTAGCCCTATAAAGTATTCTCAATCCAAACAAACACAAACCCAAACCTTGTGCACTCTTTCAACATAACCGAATACATACCCATATGCTCCCATACATCATACCTATGTGGACCCTCTCAGTCTCCTCTAATCCACTCACAAACAAACATACACACACATAAGACGTAGAGTCCCAATACTCCTATGAGGTGTCTATCCCACAAAACCCTACCACTTTCTTACATCTTTTTTTCTCATACCTAACCCTGTAAAGACTTCACCTATTTATAATAATATAAACTTGCCCATTAAAAATCTCTCTCCTCTTAGAATTCTTCTCCTATAAGTCAAACTTGCCTATTAAGAATCCTTTTCCTTTCAGAATTCTTCTCTTACAAGTCAAACTTACCTATTAAGAATCCTCTTTCTCTTAGAATTCTTCTTTTGTAAGTCTTCTTGTCTATTAAGCAATATCTAACAAATCTTTAACAAATCTCAAACAAATCTCTTATGGGATTTGAGTCAATATTCCCAACAATCTCCACATTGGCTCAAATTTCATCAATCATCTGTCTTCATGTTAGATATGCTTGGCTCCACATGTAATGGAAGTCTCACAATCATTTTCTCTTCTCTTGTGTTCACGTTTCATACAAATAAATCCTCAATCTTCAAAACTTAAACTTGAACTCTTCTCTCGAATCGAGCTCTTTTGGACTTACTTCTTCCCATGTCTCAAACCATGCACTTCTCATACTTAAACCTTTAGCTCTTCTCACATCTCGAACTTTCAGCTCTTTCACATCTTAAACCTTCAGCTTTTTTCATATCTTGAATTTTCAACTCTTCTCACGTTTCGAACCTTCAGCTTTGATATCACTTGTTGGGGAACACCACAGCTCTGATACCATTTGTTGGGCTAAAAGCCTTCAATCCAATCACATCAGCGGAAGCGAAATCAAACAATAAATCAAACACACAAGAGACAACAATTTAACGTGGTTCGGTCCAACTGACCTACATCCACGGATGAGAAACAAGATCCACTAGTTATAGAGAATTACAAACATACATCAAATCATCAACCTCACTCAACAATCAATACTAATAAGACACTCTCAATCTCCTCTAGCCCTATAAAGTATTCTCAATCCAAACAAACACAAACCCAAACCCTTGTGCACTCTTTCAACATAACCGAATACATACCCATATGCTCCCATACATCATACCTATGTGGACCCTCTCAGTCTCCTCTAATCCACTCACAAACAAACATACACACACATAAGACGTAGAGTCCCAATACTCCTATGAGGTGTCTATCCCACAAAACCCTACCACTCTCTTACATCTTTTTTTTTCATACCTAACCCTGTAAAGACTTCACCTATTTATAATCATATAAACTTGCCCATTAAGAATCTCTCTCCTCTTAGAATTCTTCTCCTATAAGTCAAACTTGCCTATTAAGAATCCTTTTCCTTTCAGAATTCTTCTCTTACAAGTCAAACTTACCTATTAAGAATCCTCTTTCTCTTAGAATTCTTCTTTTGTAAGTCTTCTTGTCTATTAAGCAATATCTAACAAATCTTTAACAAATCTCAAACAAATCTCTTATGAGATTTGAGTCAATATTCCCAACAAGGTTCAATTTATTTATATTTGGTGGAAGCATAGTTTGGATGTACAGGTATTTTTCTTGTGGTTGGCATACTGGCTTGTGTCACAAAGCACCAAGCTAAAAACATGTACCAAGAAAGTTTCGAAAGTGACCGAAACCACTCCAATTTTATAAAGAATGTGGAACGTTAAAAAACCATGATTCACCATCCCATGAAACGAGAGTCAATTCTAACCGGTAATCAAATCTATGACCCCATGATTAACCATTCCATTATATCCCTGCTCAAACCAGGTCCCCTTCCAGGACATTTCACTTAGAACACTGCAATTAATTAAACAACTATGGAAGCTTCATGTAATATGTTGATGGATAATACATAATTTTAAATTTTGATTTATTAATTGTTATACAATAATTGTAAGGGGGCATTTGATTATGAAGAATCCACACACTTTTTTAAAATTTTATTATTGGATATTTGATTTTAACGTTTGATTCAGAGTAATCTGATTTTGAAAAAAAATAATAAATTCTTAACAGTATCCAAATTCTCGAAATTAAAAATTTATCTCTCCCTATGATATTTTAGGATTTTGAGAAAAAGTAACGTTATTTTCAAATTTGACCTGAATTAAAAAATTATGAAATAGCCATTATCATTTTAAAAAACATATCTGAAAATGAATGCAAATCAATTGTAAGTTTCTGTTAGTAAAAAATTTGATTTATATATGATGTTTGATATGAAAAACCTTCAATAATTTCTTACAAAAAATTGAATATGGTTATTCAAAGTATTTCTAATAAAAAAACCTTGAATAATCCTTAAAAATTTTTATGAGAGATTATTGAATGCGTTTTTGATCAAAAACACTTTTAATAATTCTATTCAATTTTTTGTAAGAGATTATTTAAAACGTTTTTAGTCAAAAATACCTTGAATAATTCTTTATTATTTTTTTTATTATTCAAATATTTTTGATCAAAAATATCTTCAATAATTCCTTACAAAAAATTAAAAGAGATTATTTAAGAGATTTTTGGTTAAAAATGTATTTAATAATCCATTTTAATTTTTATGAGGTGATTGTTCAAAACAGATAAAAAACGTTTTGAATAATCAAGTAAAAAATATTTTAAATAATCTCTTTTAAAAAAGATAAAAAAAATTATTCAAAGTGTTTTTACCTAAAATTAATACTTTGAATAATCTCTTATAAAAAATTAAATATAATTATTAACGTTTCTAATTAAAACGATCAAAGAATTACTATTTGCAAGCTGTAGTCAAAAGGCAGATTAAACAGGTGGATGCATAACAGTGAATTCTAAAGGCCAAGTAGAGGATTGGTGTAAGAATAAAATTCCAAGTGTAAGAACACCTTGATTTCCTCTGCTATCTGGTTTGATATGTTTTAGCTGAAAAAAACACACAGCAGATGTAAGGCTAGTGAATCAAAAGTTCACAATGGATATAACACTGTTGAGTTACCAAAATTTCTATATTTTCAATAAAAAAGGCAAAGAAATGATCACCACGAAGGCCATGGCGTGAAACCTTTACAAAATTGTTAAAAACATGATCAAAATTTATGCAAAACCATCTGCCTCTGTACTCTCTCTTTCACTTCTGTTGTTTGTCTTCCCTTTAGCAGTGTAATAATGTCAAAACGAGTTTTTCTTTTCAACTAATCTGTACAGGAGAATAGAGCTAGTTATCATAGTTCTTGTAATTTACAAAATCCTCGCATACATAGAACGCACTTCCATCACAGATTGAGGTGGCTCCAAATCTTTTTCCTGGAGTGCATTCCCAAGCAACTTCTGCATCTGTGATGCAAAGATTTCGTCCAAAATCTGCAGCATAAAGATTCTATGAATAACATATAAATAACACACCAATGAACCATGGGAAAAATTAAATGTAGAAAATGACCAAACGAAAGCATATTGAAAACAATTTAATATGATGATAAAAAAAACTTCGAAGCAACCTAGAATCATATAATAATAAAATGTTAAAAGAACTTCCAACTGATCATAGATTAGTCAAGCAAAATTTAGCAAATATTTTAGATGTTTTTAAACATTTAAATGCTTACATTACATATTATAATATAAAACAAAATTTACGATACATGGATATGCCAAGGTTGAGTGACTTGCTCAAAAAATCAAAAGGAAATGCAAGTTCATCCGAGGGATCCAATTTTATATCAGAATGTTCATTGGTCAAAGTGAGACTTACAGAAATTGCTATCTTTAAGCCCTTATACCAGGACATGTTTTCTCTTCGATTTTCCAAAAAGTGTAGTACATCCTGCGACAAAATAGAGAATATAATGTTGTATATATGTTCACGATTTTAGGTGAGGTATATGCAGATATTTGCTACTTGTACCTGGCCCATCCGATCCCAGAAACTTCGACAGATGGATACGAACACATGAGGTTCAAAGACAGAATAGAGGTTCTCTATTGTCTTTATCAGGAGATCCTTCAAAGGCTGCATTCGACTTCTTACATCTGACTCAACAACAGTTTCCTTTGAGTCTTGGATTATCTTCTTCAATTTCGTTGCACTTTGAACTCTTGTCTGTGTAAAAATTTTAAAAAAAAAAGTATAAGAAATTATTTAATAAAGACAAACTCATATTCATGCATGGATATAATACATATATACATGTGCATTCATATATCCCAGGATGCTAACATTGCCAAATGCAACCAACTATCCAATGAATTGGCATGGTTGTCCTTGACACTGTTACCCAAAGAAAACAAGATGGATAGGAAAAATGGAAACTAAAGCAGGAAGATAGTAATTTGTATAAAGTCTTCCATATGTCAAGTTACAATGAGGGAAAGAAGTTGAGGATCACTAATGGTAGGAGTCTGCAAAAGCATGATAATTAAATCAATCATAGCATCAGCTGCATTCTAGAGGATACTCACATTCTCTGCAAGTTTCTCCACTATTGCTTGAATATAGTTTCTGAAGTCAGCCCTTAGCATCACCGTAATTTCACTGAGACGGTCACCTGGGATTGCAGTTTCACCAGGTGGAGTGCAAGAACACCATGATTTGAACTGGGATTCTATCTTGGAATGAAGTACATTAAGTATCCTCTTCATGGAATTCAAAAGAACTCCCAACTGAAAAATAATGATATTTCTTTAGTTGTAGCAGATAAACAGCACAAATCAGCAAAACATGTAAGCAAAACTTTACGTCATCTGGAACAATGTAGGTGCCAGCTATTCCTTTGGTGAATTTCTGAAGATATTTGCCAAATATCTTAGGAGCAAGGCTGTCCTTCAGTGGAGCTAGAACATCAGCATACTGCCTTTCCAAAGCTTTACTAATGGCTTTTTCAACATCTGCAATAGCCTTTTCATAGCCACAAGTACCAAACAAATAACAGGTTCGTTTAGCATAAAGCAGAATAAACATAAACAAGAACAGTACAATAAGATGCCAGATTAAGCACGAATCTAATAGAATTGCCTTGCTGAAACCTGAAGTTAAGGTCATGCCAACAAGGTTAAAAGTTAATTCTGTAGTTTAAGGTCCATTTGATGAATTTTGTATTACGTACTTTCCATATTCCATAATGTTTACAGCAGTACCAACAAATAATATTAACATCATATGTCATCCACCAAATCCAAGTAAAAAACCATTAATATCCATACCTGTTGGTTCATTTATCGAATTCTAAATGCCATCTCTATAATCCATAAATGTTTAAATCTGTAAAACAATTAATATATCATAATAAAACAACAGGGGCAGAGGAACATACATTTTCCAAGATGATAGTGAATTCTGGCCAGCGGAAAATGATAATTTCATATTCATTCAATGTCTCCATTAGCTGATTATACATATCATCAATGAAAGGAGCTGTTGTTTGTTGTGTTTTAATACCAGAACACTTAACCTAAAAGTAATCAATTTCAAGAAAACTGTCATTGAGGGGAAAAATAGAAAACCTTGACTTACAATCAATTTTAATCAGTCATGCATGCTTGGCAATTCTCTAGTCTAGGCAGTTTGCATATCCAGATATATAAATATATATGTGGGAAAACACTTATTTACAGCTGGTTGTAATCTTGTAATCTATATATTTATATTTGCATCTCTAAAATTAAGTATTTGTATCCCTAAAATTAGGATAGACAATCTCTCAATTATAGGATTAGTTTTTTAGGAAGATTTAGTTTCCTAGTTTAATCCCTAGTTAGTTGTATATAAACCTAAGATTCTTGTATAATTCTCAATAAGCAGTTTTCCAACATACATTCAGTTTCCACACTGATTTATTTCTTAATTTTTCCACATGGTATAAGAGCTTTAGGCTCTTCTTGGGAAGCAAAATTTTTAGCCTTCACTGCTGACTTTTTTAGGCCTTCATTGCCGAATCGTATTTAGGCCTTCATTGTTGAACCCTTTCAAAGAAAGATATCACTACCACCCAATTTAAAGAAATGTTAACTGGAAAAATCACTGGAGTACTACAGATGTCTCAGAAACAAGGAGAGTTCGATAGGGGAGAGATTGAAAAGTTGAGAAACTTATTGAAAATCCTTGAAAAGCCTACTGTGGTATGTTTTTTGGGTAAGGTTTCTAGTTCAGGTAAAGCTTCCGGTTCTCATGGATTAAATATTTCGGCTAAGCCTATTACGAGTTCTTGGGTCATTGACTCAGGAACCACAAACCACATGACATTCCTCACAAAAGTTTAGTACATATAACCTGTGTCCTAGTAATAAGAAAATTGTTGTTGCAGATGGTTCACTTACCACAGTGGCAGGATTAGGAGATGTTCAAGTTAATCCCTCGTTTGTTCTAAAAAATGTTCTTCATGTTCCTGGATTATCTACTAATCTGATCTCTATACAAAAACTTACTAGAGATATGAATTGCAAAGTAACCTTTTATCCTTCTTATTGTGAATTTCAGGATCAGAGTTCAGGGAAGATGATTGGACTTGCTAAGGAGAAAAGGATGGACTATACTATCTTGAGACATCAAATAACACAAGTAGTATCAAGAATAGTTTACTTTTGTCATTTCTTTTTGAAAAATCTTCCAATAAAGACAAAATCTGGCTTTATCATTTTTGTCTTGGACATCATTCTTTTGGAACCTTGAGAAACATGTTTCTTTCTTTGTTCAAATGATTAAATGTCGAAGATTTTTATTGTGATGTTTGTGAACTTGCAAAGCATAGACGTGTCTTTTCCAATCAGTAACAAAAGAAGTTCTACTCCCTTTTACTTTATTCATAGTGACATTTGGGGTGCCTCTATAATTCCTAATATTTTTGGTGCGAGATGGTTTGTTTCATTCATAGATGATTGTACCAGGGTCTCTTAGGTTTTTTTACTTAAATCCAAATCAGATGTGAATAGTGTGTTTTTAAGCTTTCAAAACATGATCCAAAATCAATTTGGAGTGAGAATCAAGAGATTTAGGTCTGATAATGCAAGAGACTACTTCAACTAGAGTCTATCTACCTATTTCCAAAAAGAGGAGATTATTCATAAGTCATCTTGTGTTAATACTCCACAACAGAATGGAGTGGCAGAGAGGAAAAACAGTCATTTACTAGCCACAACCCGAGCCTTTCTTTTTCAAGCAAATGTACCTAAATTTTACTGGGGGGAAGCTGTTCTCACTGCCACACATATTATATAAATAAGTTACCTTTAAGGGTTTTGGGATTTAAAACTCCTATGGAACTATTCTCACAATTTTATCCCAACCTCAATACCACAAACAATCTCACACCTAGGATATTTGGTTGTACATCATTTGTTCATGTTCATAGTCATAACAGAGGAAAGTTGGATCCAAGAGCGATTAAGTGTATTTTTGTGGGTATTCTTCAACTCAAAAAGGATATAAATGCTATCATCCTCCTACAAAAAAATTCTGTGTCTGCAGATGTCACTTTTGAAGAAAATAAATCATTTTCTACTCAACCTTATCTTCAGGGGGAGACTTCATTCATGGAAGATAAGGATAAAGACTTCTTTTTGCTTGATTTGCCCCCTTCTTCAACATTTACACCCATTAATTCTTCTGAGTCGAAACTTGTTTTTGCTGAGCCCAAGTCAAACACTGAATTTGAGTCTGAACCCATTCCAAATACGGAAGATGTGACAAAGGATAATATTGTTCTTGATTCTATGAAGGAATTACAGGTGTACTCCAGAAGGAAAGTTTCAGATCCTAAACCAGTGCTAGTCCAAGAACCTGATTCTAACTCTAAAAATGAGGTAACTATAGTTTTTGACTCTGTTTCTCAAAATGAGCATGAATCTCCTAAAACTATAACTAGTGATTATGATCTGCCTATTGCCATTAGGAAAGGAACCAGAGAATGTACCAAGCATCCACTATACCCAATCTCTAATTTTGTGTCATTTGAAAAATTCTCACCATCCCACAAAAATTTTCTTGTGAGCCTAAACACTATTTCTGTTCCAACTACAGTATCCGAGGCATTATCTAGTGAGAAATGGAGGCAAGCCATGAAAATAGAAATGGAGGCCTTAGAGAAAAATCAGACATGAAAACTGGTAGAGTTGCCTAAAGGAAAAAATCTAGTGGGGTGTAAATGGGTTTTCACTGCAAAATAGTACTGTTGAAAGGTATAAAGCCAGGTTAATGGCTAAGGGCTACACTCAAATCTATGGAGTGGATTACCAGGAAACCTTTGCTCCAGTTGTCAAGATGAATACAGTTAGGATTTTGTTATCATTGGCTGCAAATTACAATTGGCAGCTTCAACAATTTGATGTAAAGAATGCTTTTCTACATAGTGATTTGGAAGAAGAAATATATATGAAGGTTCCACCAGGATTTGGAGGTCATCTAGAAGCAAACAAAGTATGCAGGCTGAAAAAAGCTTTATATGACCTTAAACAGTCTCCTAGAGCTTGGTTCGAGAGATTTGCCAAAGTGATGCCAGCAATGGGATATAAACAGAGTCAAGGAGATCACACATTGTTTATCAAGCACTCTGATTCAGGGAGAGTCACAATTCTATTAGTATATGTTGATGATATAGTTGTAACTGGAGATGATGAAAAAGAGAGAGAATCTCTAAAACAGTGTTTGGTTAGAGAATTTGAGATAAAAGAGCTAGGGAGATTGAAGTACTTCCTAGGAATTGAAGTAGCTCACTCACGGCATAGTATTTTCATCTCACAACAGAAATATGTAATGGATCTTCTGAAGGAAACTGGAAAGCTTGCATGTAAACCTGCAAATACCCCTATAGATCCTAATCATAAAATTGGAGAAGCTAATGAAGATGCTGCTATAAATAGAGAGATGTACCAAAGATTAGTTGGAAGACTCATTTATCTCTCACATACTAGACCTGATATAGCATATGCTGTGAGTGTGGTAAGTCAATTTATGCATAGTCCTAAAGAAGTGCACCTACAGGCTGTCTACCGTATATTGCACTATTTGAAGGCCAATCCTGGGAGAGGTATCTTATTCAAAAAAAATTTGGGGTTAGTTTTAGAAGCATATACAGATGCTGATTATGCAGGTTCAGTAACTGATAGAAGATCCACCTCAGGCTACTGCACTTTCTTAGGTGGTAATCTTGTGACTTGGAGGAGTAAAAAACAAAATGTAGTGGCAAGATCAAGTGCTGAAGCAGAGTTCAGAGCAATGGCTCAAGGAATTTGTGAACTACTATGGTTAAAGATTATCCTAGAAGACTTGAACATCAAGTGGGATGGACCAATGAGACTTTACTGTGATAACAAGTCTACAATAAGCATTGCACACAATCCTGTGCAACATGATAGAACAAAACACATTGAAGTAAACCGGCATTTCATAAAAGAGAAACTAGACAGTGGGTTAATTTGTACACCTTATGTATCAACCAAGGGTCAACTTGCAGATGTGTTGACTAAAGGTCTCAGTAATGCAACATTTCAAAAAATTATTTCCAAGCTGGGAATGGAAAACACCTATTCACCAGCTTGAGGGGAAGTGTGGGAAAACACTTATTTACAGCTGGTTGTAATCTTGTAATCTGTATATTTATATTTGTATCTCTAGAATTAAGTATTTGTATCCCTAAAATTAGGATAGACAATCTCTCAATTATAAGATTAGTTTTTTAGGAAGATTTAGTTTCCTAGTTTAACCCCTAGTTAGTTGTATATAAACATATGATTCTTGTATAATTCTCAATAAGCAGTTTTCCAACATACATTCAGTTTCCACACTGATTTATTTCTTAATTTTTTCACAATACATATATATATATATATTAATATTATATATATACATATAAGAGTAAGATTGCTACTAAATTATGACTTGCTTAGATCAAACCATCAATGAACAAAAGTTCAAAGCAATCAGGGTAAAATACGAGGAGTTCAAATGATATTCCAAGCAATATCGATTGTGATTTTCTCAAACGTCCCATAAGCAAGTAAAGGGAAAAGATGCACAAGTTCCCAAGAACTACTTAGTCTGAACCATAAAAAAAAAATTCAAGATAAAAATAAAACTGAACCAACTTTATAAGACCTTTCCTAGATATGACATTTTCCATGAACTTGATAATGCAGCTGCATAAGTCCACAATATAAGATTTGTACCTTATCTAGTTTGCATGAATCAAGTAAAGAATGGCGCTTCTCTTCAATCCAACTGGTTATATAAGAGTGAAACAACTCTTTTGCGTCAACTCCCCCTTTTACAGGTCTGCACAACGTTATAAGATCAGAGTAAGAATGGAAAACAACAGAAAGTAATTTTAAAACAATAGAAATTATGGTTGGAAAAATAATAATACAAATTTATCTTATCTATATATGAGGTAGAAGAATCAAAAGGATTTTACTTAATATTCCAGGAAGACAGATCTCTTTGAAAGTCTGCTGTCGCAATAACAAGTTCAATTACAGCAGGAGAGGGGCCAGGAGGGGGGCATCCAACAAGAAATTCTCTCAATCTATTGCAAAGATCCGCGCTGTATATGGGTGCAGAAAGATTTGGCAGGTCTATAAAACTGCAAAAAATTCAAGATAGAGCAGCAAAAGATATTAGCACAGAAGAATCCAAGCAGTCAAAAAAACAAAGCCAGAAAACATATAAGTAGAGGGGATAAACTGTAACTCTATGCAATTTTAAAACATCTAAGAGCTGCACTTTTAATCCTTTTTCCTAATTTAATTCTTTCTCCTTGAACTGATTTGCACCCACATTGCTCCTTCTAATTAAAAAACTTTATCTCTCTCTCTCTCTCTCTCTCTTCATCTTCTTTTTCAAACTAATGTTACTAGACTTTTAAGGTTAATTAGCTACAAGACAGCCCTTGATGCTATGTTACTGTGACTTTTCAAAGTGGACATTGATATGGAGTCTTTACCCTCCGAATATAAGGGACAAATGAGAAAATTTACAGGCAACCTTGTCAGACACATATCCATGTCCAACATTCTCTCACAAGTTTTATCTGTATGTGTAAATAAATTTCAACATATAAGAACATATACAATCACAATAGATCAACAAGTGTGATGGGGGAAGAAAAAAACAATTGTTCTAGAACAACAATAAATTATTATGCATGGTATATGATCTCCTAAAAGGAGAAAATCACCTAGGAAGAACATTCTGATTGTGGATCTCTATATCTGTGAAAATTTCATTCTTGATACTCAAAATTAAAAATTTCATCTTCTGATAAGAAGTTGAAAGAGTCATGGGATCCATCAATGCACTGTTATTATTGCTCAAAATGAACTCATCTGTTTCAGCCTGGTGCCTTCTTGACCTCTTTTTTGCAGCAGCCTGCATGGTTGTTGCTAATTCATAGAGGGAACAAATAGGAAAGGAATATATTATGACCATTAAGAAGTAAGTCACTTATACCTGAAAACATCTGCAGAACTCCAGTTGTGTCTCAGGACTTAATATATCGTGCAATAGGCCATAGAGCTTGACAGCAGGTACCAAGGCAGGAGGTGGTGATCCAGTGGCAGCCTTGAAAACATCCATCATCCCTGATGGCGATGATTCATCTAATGACTTGTAATTCTCAAAGATCGTAGTTAAAATCTTCTGGACATGATCCTCAATCTCCCCTAGGATGCGGTTCTGATTGATATTACAGCATTATAATCATATGGAAAGGAAGAGTTTGTATATAGTCATACAGTTTCTGAAACATATATATATGCAAATGTCTATATGTGTCTGTTTGCAATTTTATGATGTGAGATTAAAGGATGACAATTAAACTGTAAAAGAGAAGCATCCAAACGACAATTGCAAAGCGGCACATCTAAACTAAATCAAAATTAACATGGAAATCAAAGAAACATTTTAGTCAGTTACTTGTATATTACGTGGTGAACAGAAGATCCAAACTAACAAGAACTAGAAAGGTGCTTGAAAAAGATGAATTAAACTTAAGACACCTGTTTTACAATTCCTTTTCTGGGTTGATACTATCTAATTAGCAAAACTACATAAGAAGCTAATGACGAGTCATTTTTTAATATACCAATACATGTATGGCATTAGAAACAAATAAAGAGCACTTCAAGTTATAAAATAATTTGGCTCAAATAGCACACATACTTCTTGGTGACTTAACTTGTGCTTGCTATTGCCCTTCACAGGAGATAGTAAATCATGTATCAATGTAAGGCAGTCTTCAGTTGGTGTAGCCACATCCATGACATAAGAAAGGTATCTACAGCCAGAAGAAAATCAAATCAAAACAAAGCAATTTAAAACTCCCAATGATAACAACATCAATTACCATTCTAGTGCATCTCCATACCTTAACTTGGTATAGGCATCTGACACTCCATAGTATGATGCAAATTCATTCACCAACCACTTCCAAGGGCCATCTAGCAACAAATTTCTTTGCTGAAAGTGCTGAACTTTCATTGCAACTTCCAACAAAAAATCATATGCCACAGTTTCTGCAATGGAACCACACTGGAAAAACAAGAAAATGTTAATCTTACAGTCACTTCTAGTATAGTTGTTATTTTTTTGCCATCATGCTTTAGTTCAGATAGTATAAAGGCAGCTAGGGGCCAGGACATTCATAACTATAAATTTACCAGTTAATAAAAGGAAAATGAAATTCATAATAAAAACCTTAAGCAGAGTCATTTTAAAATTTATTGGACTATTACATTTTTGCACGTACCTTGAGATTATTCTCCTCTTGACGGGTTGAATAGTGTATATACAGCTGAATTCTGCCAACAAGTTCATGTTCTGGCTCACGATATAATGGCCACCATCGAAGCTTGTCACCCTGCATAATCAATGTTTTAAACTTTCAGCATAACCATCAGCCTTCCTACCTAAGCCTTAAAGACTAGGTACTATTCGAAAAATCCTTACAGGGTCATCAGCAACAGAAACCACTTGTGCTAGGACATGACCACAATACTGCCCCTTGGAGTCATGAACTTTGACAATCAAATCGTCACCAAGACCATCAGGTAAGCTGTGTGGCAAAATATCATGAAATATGGAGCAAGGAGAAAAAAAAAAAAAAGAGAACAGGCATTTTGGAGAGATGAAGGGAAAAGATCGGAAAAGGCACAGATATATAAGGGGTGAGGAGCTACATACAACACATGAGTTTCACTGGAACCTGGTTGCATTCTGATCACATCCTCTTCAGATGAACTTTTCAATTTCAACAAGCAACAATATGTTTCTGAGAATTACAATCATCACCTTAAGTTAGATAGTGCAAAAGGCCAGTACAAAATCAATCTATCAAGAGATAATACAACTGATGATAGCATCCATTTTCTGAGACTAATGATCATCATCATCATCAACAAGAACCACCTAAACCTTTTTCCAGTATTTCTGGTTGGTCGTGAAATGGATCCTATTACTCAAATGGTGCTCTCTACTTAGGACCATATCCTCGCTAACAACGTTAAAGGCAAGGTTTCGTTTATTGATGTACATTCTATAATAAGATGTTATGTTTTAACCAAAATAAGTACTTATTCCTCAATGGCCTTCTTATTCTCAACTAGCTAGAGTAAAAAATACAAACTTAGAGTATAGCAAGTAGCCTGTGAAAGTACTTTCTCTTTTGTTCAATTTTCTCCAAATATTGTGTGGTTTTTCTTACTTGGTAAAATAAAGGCTTTATGGAAAAAATTTCCGACTCAATAGGGATGAAGCTAAGACTGAACCCTTGTGCCCACCTATGTGGAAGAAATCAGAGTGATGACTGTAACTTTAATTACCATAGATATTTGCAATAATTAGGAAGAGGTCCTATTTTGCACCCCGCCAATGAATTAAATGGAGGAAAAAAGGCCATCATCTGAACATTCAGAATGAAAAGTTACAATAGTTAAATGCGTGGCATTTTACTCCTAGTAACTCAGATGTATCATAAAAGTTGCTGCATGATGCTGTACGTGTAGCTGATAGCTGCTGTTGATACCTAAGCAGCATTTCACCCTAGTCAAGTTATTTCTTAAAAATTAACTATTTACTCTTTGATGGTTCCAAAGATTCATATAATTGGTTCCAAGCACATCCAAACAATTGTTGAGATCATTAAAGAGACGAGGTTGACATTTCTTCATAGATCACATTAGTAATTCACTGAATTTATGGATGTTAGTGATACATTCTCTCAATGAAACTTTAAGGAGTTATTAGGTGCGGAAGAGAGAAGCAACACATTAAAGGAGAAACATCATGACCTAGCAAAGGATAATGAATCCAATGAACCATATGGACAAGGGATATGTTAAAGAGTAATAAATACCCTAATTACCAATTTCCTAACCATATCACAGCGTTTGTCTCATCACAGCAGATTTCTAAATCATTGTCAAGGATGCAGATATCTAATCTTGATCAAACTTCTCCGGAGTCACCAAATATGCAAGTGATTGCAGTTTCAAATGAAAAAAAAGCATTAGATGTTTAAGCTTTTACTACTTCAAGCAAAAAAATGGTTAGTAGTACTAAATTTACATGATAAAACTATTAGTTGTTTAAATACCTGGAACTACTTCAAATGATGTTGAATTGCTGCGCAAAGTAGTCACTCCAGTTTTCAAGAGCTTGGATACCTCTTTTATATACTGGCTGCTTGTCTGCAGATAAGCTAGGCTTTGCCTTGAAAGAGAACCATTTGCAGGAGCATTGTGTGTCACATGAACTTTTCGAAGAGCTTCCCATCCAGAATACAACATTGAATTTACTTTGGAGAAATGTTGATGAAGTGATTCTATCTTTAAAATAGGAATGTTGCAGCCAGGAGGAGGATCTAAACCCATTTTTACTTTACGCACTGTCCAACAGAAAAAATGATAAATTCATAGGCTTAAAGATGCAAATTTATTAAGACTTAGTTAAACGTTTTTTGGAAACATGACAGTACCTTGCACTTTCATTTTTCCAATGGACTTCTTTGATTTAGGAGCTGCTGCCTCACTAACTAACTCAGAAGATCGTTTTGCCAAGAGCTCTTCTTCTGGTTGCAATAATACCTGATGTAAACTAGAAATTTAAACATAATAGTCAGAGACAGGTCTTCAAAGCAGCAAGCATTACACAATAAAGCAGTAGCAGTATCAAGACCTGCTTACATTAACAATATGGAACTACCATGTGGACTGCATAGCCAAATACAGATGACAAAGCTTGAGCCTTACATCACAGATGCACAAAAAAGAAAACATGCATGCATGGACAATACTGGGCTTTTCTTCTAAGTGCTGTGGTTAAGATGCAACAAATCCGGTTGCAAGTATTTAGTATATTCTAAAAATGGTTATTTATTAAATGAAAATTAACAAATTCAAGGCAAACCATCACAAAAACTGCTATATATTCCTTAAACAGTAAACTAAAAAAACCTACATATATATTAGCAATTTCATCAATAACCACGACTTATACTCTGTTGGCTAGGTTGGACATAAGATATTTTCCCGGAATCAAATCACCTCTATAATTGAAGGCAAGGTGCTAATAAAGACAGCCTTATCACATGGTAAGTTTGTCCAATCATTGTTCCACTTGTATCAATCTTTATTTCTAACCCCATATTGCCTAGTATGCGTAATATTTCATTCTTTTATCCCAGCAAGCAGATCAAGTTATAGAATCTCAATATAAGAGCAGTTATCTTTCAACTAATCTTAGTTTCCATTTCAAGAGTTATACTGGTGTGTTTTATCACATATTAACCCTAAATCAACAATGTATATGTACCAAAACATGTACAAAAGAAATAAAGAAGGGATTATATGCACTCACCCGAATGCTTTCCGCAACCGTGAACATTCTCTATTCAAGAAGTAGGGAGCTTCTTCCGTGCAACCTTTGGCCCATGAATTTAAGCATAAACGAACACATGCATCATAAGACAGCACTGCACACCATGGACCAAGCCCACTGAAACAGTTTAATCAATGCAGTCAGTTATCTAAAATTTTATGTACAATGTCTAAACCAAGAGAAATATCTTCTTAGCTTAGCTATTTAACTAACCTTGCATGAAAGATGGGGCGACGAGAGGGTAAAATACTAGCAGATTCATTGACTCCACTTTCTGCAGTACTGTAATGCATAATTGTTCGATTGTAGTGTCTTGACAATTTTTTGTTAATAACAACAAGGCAACTAGGCGTAGAGATGCAGACATACACACCTGACAGATGGGTCGAGGATCTCATCCCTGCTGTTATCCTGAACAATGCTATCATTGAAATAAGGCTTCGTCTTTTGCAATCCTCCATTATGAAAAACCTACATGCACTTAAATAGTTGAGTACGCCAAAAGCATAATGTTTTAGATAACAATAAATTTAAGTTGAGCATCACAGTGGTCTCTTATTTCAATCTTATCAGTTCGAGACTGCATATACAAGTTACAAATACCTCTTAATGAAGCTATTTAGACATTTTCAGACCCATAACCAATTAAAACAATTAGAAAGTGCAAAAAGCTAACATTTTGGGATGTTAAACCCAGGTAGCCTACCCATTAATCAGGTGGTATCACCCAATGTATCTTGCAAATACAAAAAGCTGCATTCCTAAATTTGTATAAGCATGACCAAAGAGAAACACTGTAAATGCCAAGTAATTCTCAACTTTAAAGCTTCAAATGGCACAATTTAAGAAACTTAATCAAATGATAAAATAATATAGAAGGTGGAACGTAAAGAATAAAAGCAAATTTTTAGTGAGAAAGGACATACTAAAACGTAGTTGTAAAATAATGCTTGCACAGTTCATGCATCACAATGCACTGATCCATAGAATACAAAAAAAAAAAAAAAGCTTTTTCATCCAGAAGTTCATTGAAAGATGCAAACCTGTTTAGATATTATTTCAACACCTACCGTAGAAGTAATAGTAGAAGAATAACTATCAGAATTATATGTTTCTCTATGAGGTGCAACACCATCACTGCCTGTCATCTTAGCATGTGTAACAGCTGCAACTGTTGGCACCTTATCATCTTGCGGAGATGAAATGAACAAGTACTGCCTGTCACAGAGATGCTCATCTGAATCAGATGACATGTCCATGTCTGATCCTGAACCACCATCATCGCCACAAACAGGTATTCCCCGAGACACTGGAATTACGCTTGGAGACAAATGCCCATTAAGAAATTTCTCTGAAGGACGCAATCCGGACTGCCATCCAGCATTTCTTAAACTGGGAATAGAATCAGGTTTCTGTCTTGCAGTCATCCTCATAGTGAAAAGATCTCTGTTCTTGGCAACACCCCCCTAACTCAAGTTTAAAACATTAAGATCAGACTCATACAGCACCTCAGACTACACTATAAAGTGAAAACTATTGTAAACGTTAACATCACAAAACATTGAAATATTTATATTCACATAAACAAATGTTTGCACCAAATAACTAAAAACAAATGCCTAAATATATGAGTGCATAACTATATACATTCGAAATAACTCACCTCGCGAACCCATCTTAACGCATCCTTGTCAAGGCCTTGAGTGAACATTTGTTAATAGTTTCTTCTACTTCACCTAAAACCAACCATTGAGAGTTTATTTAACACCAAGATTACAATTGAAGAACTAATAAGCCAAGACACAAGCAAAAGAGCAAAAACTAACAAACTAAATCATTCATAAAAAACTAACACATTCCAATGTGGTTTGTTTCTTATCTATCTTGCCAACCAAGCAGAATGGAAAAAAAACAAAAGTCCAATACTTTATTAAAAAAAAAATCAAATTTGACCAAAACCAGCAATATGATAGAGAAAATTCACTTTGTTTAATTGTTGTTCTGATACATCCAAAAGAAAATCAAACGAAAAATGTGGAAAATTAAAAGTTTGCACCGACATTTTTTTTCTTAATTTTCTTAAGGGATTCCCACCAACCAAACAACAAAAATGAGATTATGGAATTCAACTTCACATGCCAATCACTGATCACAGAACTAACAAACCAACTGCTAAAAACCCATTTGCTTTAATGATCATACAAGCAAAACGGTATTACTAAAACTAAATGAAATGTCGCCGCCCAAAAAACCAAAAAAAAACTTGACTTTGATCAAGTTTAAAGAAAAAAAAAAGAGAAAGAAGAGATGAAACCCACAAAAAGAGAAAGGAGACTGAGAATGTGAGTGAGAGTGAGAGTGAGAGAATTAAAGAGAGACAATAATGGGTCTTGTTCTACCGTTCAAACAGACATTCTTCTCTGCTTTACTATTAAAAAAAATTCCTTTGTTACTTTCTTTTTTTCCTTCTTCAAATAAAAAAACGATGATTTTTTTTTTTTAGTAAGAAGAATCAATGTTTCAAAGTTGAAACTTTGAAGCGAAATTTAGGATGGATTACCGAACGTTAGACGAGAACGTAGAACTAACGGAGAGGCGTGAAATTAACGTGAAAACTGACGTGGCAAGCGGAAGCGCGCCCCCTTATAACGGTCGATTTGTTTTATTTTTCTTTTTCTCAGGATGTAGCTTGGTTTGGTCTGGTTGCACACATGATTTGTAGTTCTTTGGGTGACTTTAGGATTCGAGTTTTGCTTTCAGTCCTCATTGGCAGAGTGCCGTCATCCCATTCCCCACCGATATCACTGATTTTCCGCACTAAATAAGACTTCATCACTAAGAAACACGGAAATAAAAATTAAAAAAGAAATAAAAGAAAAAGGCCATGCTTTTTAATTAATGAATAAAATATTGGTTTTAATAATGGAAATTCAATCTCAGATAATTATAAATATAAAAAATAAATTTTAGCTAATTAGCTTAAAAATAGAAGGTTAGAGGAATTATATTTCTAAGTGTGAGTTTATAATAATGTTTTTAATATTATATATCAAAATAATAGAACAAAAGAGTTAGGTTTTACACTATTAGTCAAAAGGAGCTTATAATTAGGCGTATAGTTGAGTCGAGTCGATGCAATATGAAGCTCGAACTCAAACTTAACTTATAACTCACAGTTTGATATTTGATTTGAATTAAATCGAATTTTATTTTTTAAGCTTAAGTTCGATTCGTGATCGAATTCGAGTTATTCGAGCTCGCTCGATTAATATGTAAAAATAAGTTTGATTCGTATACTCGATAAAAATTTGATTATTTATATTCGAGCTCGAACTCGAATTCAAAATATTTTATTAATTAAAATAATAAAAATATATTTAAATATAAAAACTTGATTAGGATCGCGAGTTACTCGAATTGGATATAAAAATATTCGAATTTGACTCGATCGATAAATCGAGCTATTTGAGCTCGAACTCGACTCGATAATAATTGAACCGAATTTGAATTTTTTTCAAATCGAACCCTAATAACTTACGAATATTAATATATCATTTACATCCCTATTTATACTCGTGAGAAGAGCTTTACACATCTGTCGTAAAACAGACCATGTGGCTTCTTTGACATGTGGTCTCTTAAATTAAAACCTGAAACTTCTTCAATCCCTGGATATTTTTCTTTATATTTTTACATTAGATTAGTTGTTTGTTAGACTTAACGAATATAAACATAGCATCGTTCATTTATTGGGAAAAAACGATCTTCTATATAATAACTTCCATGATTTTTATTTTAGATTTCCTCTTTCTATTCAAGGTTCCTAAATCAGAGCAAATTGTCAAGAAATTTGTGAAATATTGATATCTGCCATTAATATTTGTCAGCTGTCACTCTTGCTCCCTATTTATTCATTATTAATATTCCATCTAAACACTTGATCTCTTTCCATACCACCATTTTTTACAATAAATAAGCATAGCAATATCATTTCTTTTTTTTTTTTTCTGAATTTTATTCAATATATTTTTCTGTTTAGGACTTTTTACAATTTGGTTTTAATTGAATTGATTTAATTCAATTAATTGATTAATTATCGAATTACTATCGATTAATTAATAATAATGCTTTTAATAAAATTTTGATTTTTTGCTAATTTGATTCGAAAATCGAATTAATCAAAATTTTAATCAAAATATAATAAAATCTAAATATAACATAAAAATACATAAAATAAATCATTTTATCTTATAAATTGTTAAAACTTTTAACATAATATTTAATATTTGAATATTTTGTTAGATAATATTATTTAATTTGTTTAAATTATGAAAAATTAAAAGTTTAAAATGTAATATAATTTAAATATATTTATTATTCGGTTAATCAAAAAAATTAACTGAACCAAATGAATTTACCAAAAATATTAACTGAACCAAATGAATTAATTTCCATAAGTTAATTTTTAAAATTCCTAAATTAACGAAAATAAAATAATATAAGATGTTTAATTTGATTTTAAAAAGTTTGGTTCGAAATTATTGAACTGACTGAATCATCAGATCAATTCAAATAAGCTTATTTACCTTAAATATAATGAAAAATTACTTTCACACAATCTCACCAAGTTGCTAATGAACCAAGTAAATGCATACTTGCAGGGTGCATAGAAGAACAAAACCAATAAATCTTTATCTTGATACATTAACTTGGTATGGTTATTCACATGTTTGTACGCTAGTTGCCTAAATGTCAAGTAGAGAGAATATCCAACTCTGCATTTCATCTTTTTACGTAACAAAAGGAACACATTGAATCAAATCAATCCAACGTCGCTCATTGTCTGAGCCAAGGACCTGCTGCTTAAGCTCTTCAATTTTAGTAGCCAAACTCCTCCCAGTTTTTCTGCCAAATGCAAGTAGAAAAGAATTAATATTTCTCTTTATATCACAAGGGGATTATTTGGAATCTCAATCACTCAAGCAGGAATAACAGATAACAGGAGCTGAACTAGACTGTGTAGCCAAGACCCACAACTTCCATCAACTTAGGGAAATGAATGTTGCAATAAAAATACTCAATCGAGAGGAATATAAAAATATCATTTATGGTCCAAAGAAACTCAGAGTTCACATTTAAAATGCACCAATGGAAGTGAATCAATAGAACCGACAACAGCTGAAGCCAGCCACAAAGCAACCAAGGCACCAGTTCCATATAGTATAATTGAATATGCATCTTCAGCTTCAAGCTGCAAGTTTTTAGTATTTAAGTCATCAGAATCTCAAACCATGACAAACCAAGAGAGTTCTAAATATTGAAGCAAACTATAAAACTAAACTCTAAAAGTACTTTGGCGAAAAAACTCTTGAAGTACAAATGACCATTGTATGTGACCAACACTGAGTTTCAAATCATTCTCTTCTTACACAATCGAGAGAGACGAGCAACAGACTGACTCTACAGAATAAGTTGCTCAGATAAGAATCAAGGAAAAAACTTCTGATGCAAAAAGAGGACAAAATCATGAGGAAATAGATCAACAAAAATTAAAAAAAAAGGTAGACAGACAGCAAAAGAAGATGACTGAAACAATAAATAAATCATATTTCCCAGATAACAACCCACTTCAACATGGTTGTTGACATCTCACCAAGAATTTGCAGCGACTTTCAACACAATTTAGTGATCAACTGATCATCCAGAAATATGTTTGCAACTAAAGATAAGTAGAATTTCGATAAATAGGAATTAAAACAGAAAAAAAAAAACATAAAATCTTGCTCAGGGGAAGAATCGAATTTCAACAAATTGTGTTGCTCAGGTAACTGCTCAGATAGAAATGATTGTCAATGTTTCATAAAATTTTCATAAATTCTACTAATAGGACAACCCATTTGCAAATTCATTGAATAAGTAATGTAACACCTATAATTAACAAAAAATAGGCAAAGGTGTAGAATAAAAAGGGGAGGTTATTACCTCAGCTATCCAGGATTTGGGACAAAATTAACTAGTGCTGATGGAAAGGTGCAAGCATCTAAACTGGATATATGTGTTAAGAGGTACTGAAGCTATGTGATAGAGGTCAAATAGCTTCAAAGGCCTAAGGTGAAAACACAAAAGAACATATAAGGAAAGAGCAGTGGCACTATAAATTCAGTTAATATCAAGCAATAAGCCTTGCAAAGCAAAAGGAAAACATAGAAGTTAGGGGGAACAAAGAGAAAGATAGATTTCGAGAGTTTGGAAACTTTTGCAAGGGGAATGATTTAGAGTAAAAGCCTGCCAATTTAATGAATGGATACAAAGACAAGCCATGCACAAAAAAACGATTTAAAGTACAAAAACCTGACAATTTAACTTCGCATAGAACATTGGATGAGAAGGGGTACTATAAAATCATGTTGCTTAGGTAACCACTCAGATCGACACAGTTATCGATGCTTCATCAAGAATTTATGATATACTTTCCCTAATTTTGATACTCATCATAGTAACAACTATAATGGTAATTGAAGAAGTGGAGCAAAACATACAATGAAACCTCAAAAACAAAGAAAGTAAATTAGTGCAACCAAAATTAGAAAATGACTCTTATTATCAGAAAGGAAGGTGGGGAGTAAGAAGAAAAGCTAAGCTAACATAAAAACAAGAATTTAGAGTGGAAGAGAAACACAGTTTATCACCAAAACATTTAATTACTAATCAGACAAGATGGACAGGACGAAAAAGTAACAAAATACAAAGTTAATAGGTTGCTCAGGTAACCGCTCAGGATAGACACAATGGTCAAAGTTTCATCAAGCATTCAACAAATGCCTTTCGAAGGTTCCAAAACCTCATCATTGCAACCCAACTTGACAACGGAAAGGAACATTAAAGGCCAGAAAAAGTTACTTGCTCGGTTAGTAACATAAATAAACAGATAAGAAACCTATGATGTTCTTTTTTTTTAAAATCCATTATAATGCCAGAAATGCATCTTCCAAATGATTACACAGTCAATTGATAGATAAACTCATTAATATTTCTTCCCAACAACTTGCTTATTCGATTTGGCCCCTTTTTAACAACAAATTTGATAACTTGAAAACACTACATTTAATTATATATACAATCAAACAAAATGAATTTTCTGTTTGGAAACAAAATGAATTTACATTTAATTATAAATTGAAACTGTGATGCATCTTTAAACAGTGTAAAGTGACTAAGAAATGGGTAAACCTTTACATCAAGTTTCTCCAAAAACTCAAACATCTGCGACTCCTCATTGGCAGCTGACTCTTCTTTAGGTTCTTCCGCGGGCAGCTTTTCATTGTATACTTTCTTCCCAACCGCCGAAACTTCTTCCCATGTGGCCATCCGCCCCGAAATATCGAGTGGAACGGGACGAGGAGGTTTCTTCTGATGTTGCTTCACAGAACGGGTTATTAAAATACAAAACCCCTACCAAGCAAAAGAAAAAAGTTCTATTTTTCAATTATGAAGTGTTACTTTCGATAAAAAACGAAAAAAAAATAAAAAAAGACAAATGAAATAAGGAATTTAAAAAAGAAAAAGGACGGGCCAAGGTTTTAAGATTTCCTATGGGAACGGAGGCCGCGGGGGTGGGCGGAGACGGGGAGGGAGAGAGGCAAATGGGGTCGAGAATCTAATGGTAGGGAGACAGAACTCCATCTTTTCGATTGAAGAGAGAAAATGTGGACTCTGGCAATTGGTTTGTTTGGGTTCATGTGGTTTGTTTCTTTTATGTTTGCCTTACATTTTGTGCTTCAAGTTGTAAGGGCATAGAAAGAGTGTGATAAGATGATTGCGGGCCCATTTCAATCTGATTCTGGTTCGAATAGAGCCTCTGAGCTTCTTTGAGCCCACTTCAATCCAATTCCGAACAGAGTCAGTCAGCCCTGCCTTTTACATTGCAAACACCATTCGAGTTTGCTTTCGTGAAACCTGTTTGACAGTTTTGGTCCTTCAGGAAAGTGGGCTCAAATGCTACGCACGTTCTGTAATCCAGTTTGTCAGGTGTGTTCATATAATGTAAGATTAACGATAATTTTCTATCCTTCTTTTCCCCTATATATAGGGGAAAGGCATAATTCTAGACATTTAAAAGAAAGCTTACTAAAGATGGAACATTAACTTGCTGATCAAACTTAAATAGTGAGGAGATCTTGATCATATTCAGGTTATGTATCATAATCCCAATAGAAAATTTCACTTTGTTGATCATATTCAAGTTTTGTTACTGATAGAGAATTATACTAATACAAGCAATTTTTAGTTGCAAGATGTGAAATATATTATGAGAATATCCAGCTTGATTGAGATCTAATTTGCTTGTATGCTGGATGCTGAGATTATGTAATTGTAGCTGGGATGAGATATGTCAGCTAGCTAGTTTGCAAAGCAAATGCATGATGCCAATGAAATATGCAATATATAATTCACCAGTGGCATGGCTGGAAAGAGAAATCTGGAGCCAAATGTAGATCCCAAAGAAGCAATTTTATTTCATATTTGGTGGTTCAGCACTTATCATGGATTTGCAAGGGAAGCCATGGCTGATCTTCTGGATTCTTTCGATCAAAAAAAGTATATGAGAGGATGGTTCAAAAGGAGGCACTCTTGGGAGTGGGAACTCGAATCTCAAACACTACCCCCCAAAAAAGATAGATTATCAAAGACCGTGTTTGGAGTTTGGACCACAAAATTGAAGAGGTAATAGCTTAAGACAAGCAATTCAAGGCTGTTAATTTGAATTTTGTAATGTACACGTGAAATGTGTTTAAAGCTTCTTCCTGTTTGGTCTAAAAGAATTTTTGGGAAAATACCCTTCCACGTAAAAAAGAGGGTGATAGAAAAGGAATGAATATCTATTTCATGTACATGAGAGTGGGAAGCATCTTTTACAAGAGGAAGAAAAGGGTTTGAAATTTGCGTTGTTAAAGTCTCAAAAGGGTTAAAGGGATACGCATGTGTCTCTATATTTTAATTGGAATGTTCTTTCTTGAATGCAAGATTCAACATCCTAGGTTAAAATTCATCATAAACAAAGTACAATTCATTCTTGTTGATAAACATAATTTTCACTTCTTCTTGCTTTCTTTTCTTGAGACTGGATCGTGTAAAAAGTAAGAAAATTTATGACAAATTCGATATAGATAAATCAAAATTTTCATTATTATAGATATAGTAGGTCATTTTTTGAAATAAAAAATATTTTAAAAACGAATAATGACGAAATCATTCATAAAACTTGAAAACAATATCAATTGAATGTACAAATAATTTATTAATTAGTATTTTATAATTTTAATAATAAAATGATGTAATAATATAATCGAATTCTTTTTTTATGTACTAATGATTGAAATGAAACATAAGAGGATGTCGATGGAGAAGCAAGAAATAGATATTTTGATATTTGTATGTCCTAAAAATTTTTTCCTTTTGATACCAAAGAACAAAATTAATGTTAATAATAGAAGGTGCTGCCGCAGCCACATCGATAATGTTATACAAGTAAGTAGTCAACCCCTTCTGAATTGAAACAAAAAGCAAACAATTATAATTAATGTAATTTCTTCAACGCTCATGATAATCATAGATTCTTCAATAACTATGATTAGAAAGAAGGTAGCGTTGGAACATCTAGCTACTAGCTATTTTACTTTTTTTATAATTGGACACTAGATTTTTCATGTGTAGCTATGACTAATTTTAGTACTATCATTGGAGTCAAACAGAAAATCATGAAAAGCTTCTCCACTTCCATTTACAATGGCTAACTGGCATCCATATAGTATTGACGAAGGCATTTACCATTGTTGTAAATTGATTGAGGTGAATCCTCAGGGTGTTTGAAGTTTAAATAAATTGATGCAAGCTTATATATAAGCTTTAATAAATAAAATATATGAATGCATGGACAGCTTTTGATTCCCCATTTCTTCAACATTTTCTCTTAATATGTGAATGATTTAGCTCGGAAGCATGAATGATCTCTTCTTTTTACTCTTTTAATTTTCTCTTTTCTCTTTCTTTTAATGGGTTTGAGGATCAAACACACAAGTAGTTTGAGAATGGGGAATTATTAATGGAAGAAATGGTTAAAATTCGATTTGAATTATACTTCATTTGGATGATTTGTAGAAAAAATTTTAAATTTGATAATTCATGTATTCATATTATATAAAATATTAAAAATTTATATATTCATATCGTATTTTATATGAAATTTATGTGTCATAATTTGTGTTGATACGAAAAAATAAAATATAAATTTTTTGTTTTGTTAAATCTATTTAAGATTTTTATTAAAATTTTAAATTATGTTATTTTCGTATTTCTTATTTGTGTTATTTTTATATTGTGTCATTATAAAAAGTAAACTTTTAAAAGATTGTTTGATTCGAAAGAAAATAAGATTTTTAGTTGGAATCTTAATTTTCATAATTTAATTTTTTTAATTTGATTTATAAAATATAATTTTTAAAGTTTTTTAAGATTCTGACTAGTATAAAAAAAGAAAAAGTAGGAAAATAAAAAATTTTCCACTCTTTGAGTTTTTTTTTTTTAAATTCTAGAGAAAAAGTGAAAATTTTACTTCATTTTTCTTCCCTTAATTGTATTTTCACACTTAACTAAAAAAAATTTTATTTTCACACTATATATTATCCTTTCTAGTCTCTCAAAATTATAAAGTAAATAAAATTTATTATTTTTAAAAATTTTATAGTTTTTATAGAAATTATGTTTTTAAGTAAAAAAGTGAAATCGATTTGAAAATATAGAATTTTGAAAATTTTTTTTTTAAATGCTATAATTTATAAAAATTATATTTTTAAGACGAAAAATGTAATACCTATTAAAAATATAAATTAAAAAAATTTTCATATAAACTATGCTTTTTGAAAAAACATTTTCTATTATTAAATAACAACCCACAAGAAAAACTTTGAAACTTAAGCCATGTTTTTAGAGCCAAAAAGCATTGTCTATTGTCAAAGAGGCTATAACTAAGCTACTGAATTCTTCTTTTAAAAAAAAATTATTATTTAGTTTTGAACTAACTCTAAAAAAAACTAGATAATCTGATTTATTCTATGAGAATTGAAAATTGGTATCTTGTTGAAGTATCTCAGAGAAGAGTAGAGATGTGTGTTCGAAATGTTATTGCCATTGGATCCTTTTGGAATTGATATAAATAAGTATAAAACAAAAATATTTTATATTTTTTTAATTGTTAATTTTAACAAATTAAAAAATAAAAATAAATTTGTTTACTTATCTCTCTCATATTTTAAATTTATTAAAATCAATAATTAAAAAAATATATAAAAATATGTAAAACTTTTTTTATATAGCTTGATTTATATATATATATATATATAATTTTTTTCTTATAAAAAACTATCTTTCCTTCCTTTTATTTTTACTTTCTTCTCCTTTACTGATATTTAACCAATCCTAATTAAGGCTGTAAAGAAATTAAATATGAACAAATGAATGTATGTTTGTGATTTATTTATTTATTTTTAAAGATGTTCTAATTCAGTTCATATTCAATAAAAAAATTATTTTATTCATTTAAATTCAGTTCGTTTAAATAATAAGATATTTATATTTTATTCATATTTGATTTATATTCAGTTCAATTAAATTAAACAAATTCATTCGTGAATATTATCCAAACATATTCATTAACATATATAAATAAAAATATTTATGAATAATAAATAAATTATAATCAAATAAATTTAAACAAATAAATCTTAAACGAATTCAAACGAGTATAAATAAATATTAAAATATGATTAAAATAAAAATATAATTTTATAATATTATTATAAATGAATATCAAATGAACAACGAATAAATAATAAATAAATAAATTTTAAATAAAATTATTCATAAATATAAACGTATTAAATATATCTTAATTCATATTTAATTTATTTAATAAATTACTATAAAAATATTATTTAAAATTATTTATTAAATTTAATAAATAAATAAAAATCAAACATATTCATAAATAATTCTTCAAAAATTCTATTTATTTACGTTCGTGATCGGCACATAGCATAAACTACACTCGTCTTCCCCTTCGTATGACTTCTTTATTACAACGGTCTCTCCTCAGCACCACCCTCTCTCACTCTCTCTTTTTGGCTTTATTTTATAATGAAAAAAATGCTCTTCCCCACAAGCCATTGATAAACCCTTTTGTACACGAAGCTTTCACCTTGATGAATTTAGTAGATTTTTTGGGTTTTTATCATACCTCTCTTTTTAGGCCCTCTCTTGAAAATGGCAGAAAATCTTGACTGCTCAGCTTCAAATCTTCTATGTTCAGAGGACACAAGCTCTTGCTTTGATGGTGATCTTGATTTTAATGCCATGACTGAGTTTGGGTTTTCCCCTGCTTGTCACCACCACCACCTTAAAAACCAAATCTTTAATCAACCGAGCCCATTTTTTATAAACAACAGATCAACTTCTTTGATGGGTAGTTCTGGTTTTGCAATACAAAGTGATGATAGAATGAAACAAATGGTTGAAAAAGAGATTGAGCATTTGCCTGGAGATGATTATCTTAAGAGGCTGAGAAGTGGGGATTTGGACTTGAGTGTTAGGAGAGAGTCTCTTGAATGGATTTGGAAGGTCTGTTTATTTTTTGTAGTCAGTTTTATTGAAATTAAACTCTTGGCTTTTTGCTTGTTTGATCCATTTGATCATTGATTTATTTTTTCTCAGCCTGATTTTGTTGTTTAACTGGTTTCTGTAACAGGTTTTTGTTTTCAATACCATTATAGCCTTTTCTCAGCAAAACTCATCACATTGTGCATTTTTTTTCTTTGTTTTCTTATTTAATTTGATTTCATTTCTGTAATGGGATTTCCATACTTTTTTTGGATCAATCAATTTCTGAGCTATTGATAGATGCATGTTTTAAAGTTTATTTCTTAAGTAAGTTCTTTCTTTCTTTTCATTTTTGGCAACCTGAAATTGGAATTGGCTGTTTTTCTGTGTTTTTTCCCTTTTCATTCTGTATTTTTTGTAATACTAAATTGGACTCTCTGTTTTTTCCCTTTTCATTTCAGTGATAATGTGCTATGAATGATGATTTCATGGTTAGTTTATGAGAAGGTTAAATTATCAACTTAAGTTTTCATTTTTGATCACCAGGCTTGTGCTTATTTCCGTTTTGGACCTTTGAGTCTTTGCCTATCCATTAACTACTTGGATCGTTTCCTATCAGTTTATGAATTACCAGTAAGTTCGCAAAATTAGCCTCAAGTTTGGTTCTATTTGTTCTTACATCATAACCATAGCCACTGATTTTTTTTTTTTATCCTTGATTTTATTTCTCTATCTTCTGGGGAAACATGACACAGAGAAGTAGAACATGGACTGTGCAACTGCTGGCTGTAGCTTGTTTATCGATTGCAGCCAAAATGGGGGAGGCAAAGGTGCCTCTATCTGTAGATTTGCAGGTGACTAGAACATGTAGATTGATTTAATGTGTTTGGCAATGGAGGCTAATCACTTGGTCTTTCCCAATCTAAGTTTCCTGATTATGTGGATTTGTTCTGGGCAGGTGGGAGAACCAAAGTTTGTCTTTGAAGCTAAAACAATACAAAGAATGGAGCTTTTGGTTTTAAGCACATTGAAGTGGAAAATGCATGTTCTTACTCCTTGCTCTTTCATTGACTACTTCCTGATGAAAATCTGTAATGATCAATATCCATCATCAACTTCGATCTCTAGATCATTACAACTAATACTGAGCACAATCAGAGGTTTCTATCTCAATTTGTTTCTTTTTGTTACATATTCGTGTTTGAGGATTAATGGGGATGGAATTGATGCAGTGTTTGGTGGGAATGAATGCAGGTATTGACTTCTTGGAGTTCAGACCTTCTGAAATTGCTGCAGCAGTGGCAATTTTTGTTTCAAGAGAAATGCAAACATTACCGATTGATAAAGCTATTTCATCTTTCGTCTTTGCAGAAAAGGTAAAAAAAAAAAAATTGGTGGTGCCCACAGAAGTAAAACTCAAGAGAGGACAAATTTCTTTGGCTGTTAGGTCTTAGAAGATGTTGGCTTTGATCTTTTTTTACCATTTTGATGAGTCAGTGAAATGAGGATTCTTTGTCTGTGTTGCTTGTGGGATTTTTGCAGGGTAGAGTGTTGAAGTGTGTTGAACTGATGAAAGATTTGTCATTGATTAATGGGTCTGCTACTGCTACTGCTAACGCTAATGTGGCAACTCCCTCAGCTTCCTCTCTGCCCCAAAGCCCCATTGGGGTGTTGGATGCTGCATGCTTGAGCTATAAAAGTGATGAAATAACAGTTGGGTCATGTGCAAATTCTTCTCATTCTAGTCCAGACATTAAAAGGAGGAAACAAGACAAACCATCGCAACTCTATTTCAAGTCATGAGATCTGAATTTTCCTTCCTCCTCGCACCCTTTTTAGTCCAATCAATTTGGTTGAATGGGAACTTTCGTGTGGTTCTGGAGCACAAAGAGAGAAGTTTCAATATGAATAAATTTTAACGTGAAAAATGATTCAAGTTCTTCCACGCTTAAAGCATGAGAAATCAAAAACACAAAAAAAAAAAAAAATTGTCACCAGCTGTTTATATATATAATCAAGAACCCCATCAACCACAGCCATAGATGTCACAACCAGAAGTGGACGGTGGTGTTGTTTTTAGAAAGAAATACTACAGGTTTTTTCCATCATTACTTTTTGTTGTAGCTTCCAATTATAACCAAATTATCAAATATTCTTTCTGGCAGCAATTAGAGTGCAACTAAGTTATTATCATCCTAGTCCAAGAAAGTTGATTGAAGTGTGCTGACATGAAAAATGATACGATGCCGTTTTAGTGGTTGCTAGGATCACAAAAGGACCTTAAGTGGGTCCCTGAACTGCTGGGCCCAGAGAGAGACAGGCCCACAGAACATTTGTTTTAGAGTGTTTTAAAACGAGTAAGACCGGTCAACATCTGGGGTTTGATTTGGTGTGTTGAGTTATCAGTTTGTCTGAATTCTGGAAGAACAGAAAAGCTATGAGCATTGGGAACTTTGGGAATCCACAGTACATGACAGACAGAGAGAGTCTCCGATGCGTACTTTATAAATTATGGGCACAAAACATCTTGGGTTTTTTTCATGATTTCCATATCAACTATTCCACGTGTTCCATTCTTATGATTTTTAATTTTTCAATTGAAAATTATTGAACGTATTTCTCACTAAAAAAAAAGTATTCATTAAATTATTATTTATTACATGCATGTCCACAAATCAATTCTCAATATGTAAAAAAGTTTAACTTTAAATTCGAAAATTTAAAATTTATATAAAAAATTGAATCTATTATCTCATTATTGCAATAGAAAATTACTATAATGACATACTATTTCTTACTTATAATATAATCATTCATGAATTTACTAGATAAATTTGATGTCATTTTGTTTTAACATTTATTATTTATTTTCTGATTCTGAAAGCAAAAGGCAAAAGATTTGTTTAGAGACAAAAAATAAATAGTAATATTCATAATGTGTGATAGTATAAAAAATGCATGATTTTATTTTTATAAAGAATAATTATATTTGAATGTATGCCACATTTTACCTTTTAATCAAATTTTTTTTATTAAACTAAGGTTATCTTAAATTGAAGAAGGAATTTATGACCATATTTATATTAAAAATATAAAGCGTCATTAAATTTTTTTTGAAAACTACATATTACTCATTATCATTTACTTATTTTAACAGTCTCTCTTTAGATTTTTAATTAATTTAAGTGAGATTAAATAAGAAATTTTTTTAAAAAATACTATTTGTCATCCCCTTAAGTTTTTCTAATTTCCTATCATTAGAACTGAGAAAAAGGATAAAAGCACTGCCATGGGGCATTAATTTCTCTGAAGCAAATATCAATGAACTGAGACCAAAAAATAAAAGCAATAGTGGATAAAAAATGCCTCTCTTTATAAAAGGTGACCCTTTTTAACTATTGCACAAATCATATGAAATGAGATATGAGAGAAGCTTGATTTTATATATATATATATATATATATATATGAAAAATAATCAACGTATATAAATGTAAAATTAAAAATTTTATATAATTTTAATTATTGATTTGAATAGATTTAATAGATAAAAATGACAAATGAAAATGAAAAAAATGACCTAATCTCGTTTTTTTTATTTATTAAAATCAATGATTATAAAAAATGTTTTTTTTTTGTGTGTAAATTGATCCATCTCTTATATAAATAAATAAATAAATCTATTTATATTTATATAACCGAAACAGAAAGAGACAAAACCAATCTTCTCCATGTGCCTGATGGCAGGATTAAAACGGGTTGGTAGGGAAAAAAAAAAAAAAGACATAATCAAGAACCCCAAAAAGTATCCACTCAGATTCTGATTACTTTTCTTGGGAAAAAAATGAATTTTCCATCCAAATGAGTGCAGCCTTTTACCTTAAACTGAAACTGAGAAAGCAGTCACCCTTAAAAGCAACAGAGAGTAGAAAAGAGTTAAAATAATGTAACTTTGACTGATTAACAACAGCTAAGCATGCTCAAACTCAATCAGGTGTGTGTGTATAAATAAATAAATATATAAATTTATATATATTAAAATTAAACCAATAAAAAATCCCATTTGTAACGGACAATGCCAGTAAGGGGATCCGAATATGGGAAACAACAGGCATCGCTTTCTTCTATGGACAATTGAAAGGGAAGGGGAATAATACCAACAGAAGTAAAAACAGACAAGTGTCTTGAGACTGTTGAAAAAACTGCAATGGCCAGCTCATTACTGTTTCTGAGAGCCTCTGAACACCAGATTTTGCAGCAAAATTTCCTTTTCACACACAGTTACTTTCTTCTATATATAGTTTTCTGTTTCCTTTCTTTTCTTTACGTTTCTTTCCTTTTCTTTTCCCTTTCTCATCTTCATTTGGCCTTGTGGGGACCCAAAGCTATGGTATGTGCAACAAAGTATTGGTCTAAGAACGCCAAAAAAAACACAACTTTTACTAAGTATTAGCGTGTGCATGGTGGAGGTGGTGGTGGGGGAAGATGGACAGAGGCACAGAAGAGAAAAGAAAAAGGAAAAAAAAAATGAATTGGGAGATAGGCAAAAGGGATTGTTCAGATTTCTGTTTCAGAATATCAGCATCCCTTTGTTTGTCATCTTCTCTTTTGCTACTGCCCTTTATCTGTCTAATTCCTTTTCTTTTCATGAAATAAAGAAAATTGGATTATGGAAACATGCATGCATGTCGCTCTTTCAGTTATTATTAAAATTTTACTTTTTATTCAAAAACTTATAGCATTTAGTAATTAATTTCATAGCAACACTTTTTTTTTTGGAGATTTAATTACTTAATTAAACAAAAATAGTAATTCAAATGATCAATAGACAAGTGTTTGCCCAAATCTTAATGTTCGGACATAAAATAAATTACAACTGCGTTTGTTACATAGGAAACAATTCCCTATTTGACTGTATTCTAATTTTCATGAACAGCCAAATATGATGATTCCTAAAGACAAAACCATAGGGTGATTCCTTGATGTTTTTATTATTGATGTTCTTCGTGAGAACCCACCATAGGAAACTATACATTTGAAAAGTTTCTTACTATGGTGGAAATGTTATCTTTGGTTTTATTTATTTCAAAGCCTATAAAGATTAATGAGCAGCCTTAAAAAGAAATTTTCTAAAAGCAAAATCGGTGTCCTTTAATGAACAATTTCAAAACATAAATTTCTTCGGTCTTTTGATCGAACTAACCCCTTATAGTTTAGATGAAGTCGGGCTGGCCCGTAGAAGTCAAGCATCGATGCCACATGCGGCTGTTGGGGTCTACTTCACGGGGATGAGAAATGACTTCAGGAATGGGAAAGTAAACGTAGTGAGTGTTGCATATCCCAACTGTAATGCCGCTATATCCAGCAAATGCACCATGAACCTGCAAATGCAAGCAGTTCAAATGAACCATATTGAAAGATTGTGCATGTGCTTGTGCGTAGAATGTGGAAGGGAGTCTGTGGAGAAAAATAATGGATACTTACAGCATTTTGTCCTAGAACAGTGCATAGAATTCCATCTGATGCATTTGCACAGCAGGCGCGGATCATGTATGTTGGATCAATATACTTTACATCAGCAGGGATGCCGATTTCCTTAAAATATTTCTTCATCTGGCAGGAAAATAGCAAGTCAACAAATTTAGCACCCTATCAGGTTCATCAAGTGTATGCAGAAAAATAAATAAATCATCCAATGGAAGGACCTAGAATGCGATTTCTTTTGCCATCTCTTAGGCTCCAATTGGTAGGAAGAAAAGAAGGCAGAATAAAGGAAAAAAAATTTCTAATCTAATTATTGAGATTCATAACCGTACTATTTTTTAGCTCAACCAGTAGATTAAAACATTTTCCTTTCTTTCCCTTCTCTTTCCATCTTATCAAACTGAGTGTTAGGAAAAAAAAAATCAAGAGGCACCTACCACCTAGGTTTTAGATGTATTGATTTTTTGAAGGGTACATAAAAGAAAGTCTAAGGGCTAAAAGGTTAGTATTGTCTTTTAAGTTTTAGTATACAGGTTAAGATGACCACCTTAGAGAAGATTCTTACATCTAAATGCAGTGAAAATCACTTATACTAAGGTAACCCAATATCATTAAGGCTTTGTTTGTTTGGTAGGAAGGATAAAAAGAGGTAAAAATAAAAAATTTGTTAATCTAATGGTTAAGGTGCAAAGCAAAAAAGCAATTATGAATTTTAACCATTAGATTAACAGGTTTTCTATTCTCACCTCTTTTCATCCTTGCCAACCAAAGCCTAAATGCAACAACTTGATCCACAAGAAACATTAAACCGATAAAAATTAGTAATGCATTTTATTAGTGAATTACTTTGATTTATTTCTAGACACATGCATATCACCGATCCATATAGATTCACAATCAAACCAAAATCAATCTATGACAATTGTGTAGGCAATCTAGCATAATGAAATGAAATTTTCAACCCAAGAGAAAGGAATCAGACCCCACAATTTGGTGATTCCTTCAACAATTTGTTACAATAAAAAAAATGTATAATTGTAACTTGACAAAGAAAGGAAATCCCTCGGGACAGTTACATGCAATCACTCTTTCTTTTTGAACATACGAAGTTAGTGGAAGAATTCAAATTACTGTACTAGGCGACTACACACCAAAAAAATCTTAGTAGATCTTTGTTTCTTCAGCCAAGAGTTAAAAATAAACAAATGCAAGAAGTGGTGTAAACTACAATCAAATACCTCTTGTTGGATGTGCACACCAATGTCTCCAAGTACAATGTTTCCAGATGCATCAGTAGCATTAGTTTTCTCAACGAGATTCTGCATCAAAAAGCAGCACCTTAGAGATGCTTAACTCACATATGTTGTCAGAATATCATATTGTCAAATTTGAATATCTCTTAAGAATTGACTCTTCCTCTTCAAAGAGGGAAAAAAGGCAGTAAAACAATTCATAAAAAAAATATAAAGAGATATTCTGGTGCCTTAACTCCTGTTTTGAAAATATCTATTTTAGAAGGGGAAACAACATTCAACATATTGGTGCTTTTATCCCTTTGACTAAGCACCTATGAATTTCATCAGAGACTCACGACATTTACACTGACAAAACATGATACAACTGAGAAAACACCAAGAATTTATTTTAAAAGGAACATCTTCGCAAAAATTTCAAAGGAATATACAACCTTCTCTGCAGTAAAGCAACTAAATTCCACATCTTAATTCTCATAAGAGCGGAAGAAGTTAAATTGAGAAGGATCCAAAACTTTCCAATAGAATTTAAAGGAAGAAAGCAATAGAGTAGACGAGATTAAAAATTGAAACATGAAAAGCAATAATAAATCAAACCAGCATCATGTAAAAGCCAAAATATCTACAATGGAGACATATTGTCAAAAAAAACAAAAAGTCTTCTTGATTGATGGATAGGCTATTAAGTTAGATTAGACATCCAAGAGGTCAGTTATTTGACCACTCTTACTGTGCACCATCAAAACTATAAATTTGTGATTAAATTATCACTTCCAAAAAGGCTTCAAATAGCTAAATATATATATTTTTAGGTCACCTGCCCAGCTCCTTCTGCCACACAGACCACAGCCGATCCCTTTGTCTCAATAAGGTATTTCAGATGCCTTAATACACCATGAGGCCCATGCAAAAGGAAAGGTACCTAGAATGATTAAGTTGGATGCATTATAAACATAAATTTAAAGACTGTATGGGCATAGCTGATCAGAATTAATTGTTAACAGTCAGCATAGATACCTCTGGAATCAAACATATGTCAACTTGTCCACTAGCTAAAGATGATTGCATGGCTATGAAACCACTGCTACGACCCATCAATTTCACAACACCAATTCCATGAAAAGCACTATGTGCCTATTAATTAATTGAAAGAGAAAACAGAAGCACTAATAAGTTTAACATTGAGGAATCAGTAATAGGAATGAGTTTTTACACAAAAATTTAAGTAGAAAAGAATCACAATGCATAAATTCAAAAGTCAAACAGATTTTTATATCAACACTGATGATCAAAGCTGATATACCTCAATGTATGCAGAGTTGATCGCTCGTTGTGCTTCTTCAACAGCAGTATCAAAACCAAAGGTTTTGTCCATCAGCAGAATGTCATTGTCTATAGTTTTCGGCACACCAACTACAGCCACTTTCAACTTTCTTTTGCGGCACTGAAAAAGAAATTGTAAAATTATATAGATTTCAGAAAACAAAAAAAATATTTGTAATAGAGAAAGTTTTCACGACCCTCAGAGATTCTTAGTCACAGAACAAGATCCTATAATATCCCTACTGATGTGATATATTATTCATAAATATGACTATCTCAATCAAATTGAATTTGAAATGGCAAACATAGCTTAGAAATACCAAATATGGCAAATAAACCTGAATCTTTCAGTTACCCAAAATCATTGTAATGCCATGAAATTGAATCAAATGACTACACAATTTATAAACACTAATTTGTACTAAATGGAGCAAAAAACCTAACTTAGTGTCTATGATTCCCTATTTTGAATTTAAGATTGTAATAACAAAGGAAATAGTAAGTTTAAGACTAATTGATAGTGCTATAGATGCAGAAGACATCAAATCTGATATGAACCTCATTGTGTATAGCATTAGCCCCAGCATGAGTACCGTTTCCACCTAGCACAAAAAGCATGTTGATTCTTCTTTCCTGACATCAATTTTGGAAACATATCAAAGATACTACATACTTGGACTCCTGAGTCTTGGCTGTTTTAGTTCAACATCAGGAATCCCTTCAAGAAGACAGTGAGTAAATCTGATAATAGTAAAAGAAGTTGAGCACCTCCATACTATCTACAATTTCACTGACAGTTGGTCCTCCACGTGAAACTCCTAACAAGCTTCCACCTGAAAGGTGAATATTTTGGACTACTTTCCGTGATAGCTGAAAATCAAAGGTTGTTAACAACGGAAAATCTTGGGTGAAGCAACAGATATTTCAACAAACCATTGCTAGGAAACAAACATGGTTTACCGGAATTTCAGCCAAGTCTTTGTCAGAGAATCCACGATAACCAAAAGGAATCCCCACAATGTTTTTTACACCATATATTTCCAGTGTGATGACAATCTGCACGAGTTTATTATTTAGGCATGCAGTGAGTAATAAAGATTAAAGCATTCAAATTTCAGGCTAACCATGAAACTTCAATTTAAACCAATATTTATGGTGCGCTAAGATCAAAACATTGTTACTTCATCAGTTTACACTACCATGAAAGTGAGAATTTTAACTATAGCCTTAATTAATTTACTGTAAATACCTTTCTTTTATATGGTATGCTAACAATGGAACGTGAAATGGATTTTGTGCAAACTCATATAAAGTAGGTAAGATTTCTCTGTCCTAATAAAAATACAATTACTGTTGTTCAGTTTTCTAACTGAAGAAAACCTTTGATAAATGGTATATGGAAGTTAGACTGATATTATTTACCAAAGCAACAGTAAGAGATTATTTCATCTGCTGAATCTCAGTCACCAGGCACCTCAAATGAACTTTAGATTTTAGCAGGAGACACAAGATCAAAAATCCAGTTCACGCTTACATTACTACGACAGTGAAAGCACTGAATGCTGGTTTGAATGAAATAGCATAGCCTAGTTGTTGTTTACAATTTCAAGCATGCTAGAAGCAAACTGAAGTTTAAATATGATGCTGACCTGTCTAATGACATCATTAAGACCAGGGCAAAGACCACCACAAGTAACAATAGCAGCCTTCACTTCTTCTGGTTTGAAATATATTTTCTCTTGAGGCCCAGCACGATGAACCCTAAGATGATATGCCATGTCAAATAAAATCATAACTGCCAAAAGAACTTCAATGTTGCATATAAAAGACAAAACAGAAAAAGGAAATATACCAAATGGCAAGAAATGTAGACACAGTACAACATATTATTCCATATACCATAGCATGTTATGAAAGTATTGTAGTGAATGCAATAGAATGCATTATTTGTGAATTCACAAAACTATATAAATGCATTGAGAGTTATACTTACCATTGTTCAACCCAAGAACAGTTAGGATCAATGCATTCAGCACCAGCAGATGTAGGAGAGGAGTAATGAATGACCTGAAATATTTAAAAGATCAGAAATTTTGACCAATATAATCTAAATGTGGATGATTAACCAAACTAATTGCAGGATTATTTCAGTAAAGCTTGACGAATTTAACCGGTGTCTTGATTTAAGATATAAAGATATAACAATGACAATTGAACCAGAATTGTCTTCTAAGGAAGCAAGACTAGCAGATTTCCTTCTTAAAATTATTTAAGCCAGAATTTTCATTTCAATTACCAACTCTATACTAGCAGGCTTCAATTTTAAAACTGAAAATTGGGGTAAATTTAGTACAATGATCTCCAAGGTCTTAACGAAAAGTAAATGCACAACTTCAGATTTCCATATCATAATTCGGCAACTTGGCATATAATAAGGAAACTGATTCAAAAAAAGTGAAATTTAAATTTAAATATAAAAAAGAAAAATTTCTACCTTTAGAAGTACTCTATCGTTATTATTTATGTAACCATGCCACTCCTCATCCGATGGATAACCTTCTGCAAAATCCTCAGTTACCGGCGTTCTGGAACAAAAATCGAGACTAATTAATTATTTTTTTTGGCTAAAATTAATTATTTATTCTATTAACAAAAAAAAAAATGCGATCAAATATCTAAAAACACAAACTCCAAAATGAAGAAAGAAAGAGTTATACTACATTTTACAATTTTATCAATCTTATAGTAAAACAAATAACAATTCCGAGAAAACATAAGCTGAAAACTGTTTAAATAAAAATAAGAGGAAAGTTACTTTTTTACCTCATTCTAAGACAAAATGTGGAAGGATAAGAGTGAGCATCGGGGAAAAGATCGGTGATGTGAGGAATATTAAAGCGTTTTTCGAAATCTTGCTGGAACTTGGACTACCAATCAGGATCACTGAAATCGATGTTGTTTTTCGAGCTTTGTTGATTGCATTCAACCTTCGAGAAAACTCTGCTCCTCCTCTGCGATCTTAGCGTACGGAGATTCAAAGAACTGAATCCATGACGGTAATGGAGGAGACGACGAGAGACGTTGTCGTTTTGAGGGAGAGTGAGCTTTGGAGAAGCGGAAGTGGTGATCGCATGGGAGAGAGCTTCCATGAAACGACAAGTAAAGTTGAGTTTTGGCTTTTCATTTTTTTTGGGTTTTGCAGAGAAATGATTAAAGATTCAAAGGGTTTTTATTTTTTTGGTTTAGCGAAGTGTTGGGAGAATGAAAAAAAAAAGGGAGGGAAAAAAAAAGGAGACAGAGAAAGCAGACAACTTGAAAACGGTAGCCGGTTTTGGCCGTACAAACTACAAATTTTGGTTACAAAACCTAGGAGCCTTTTTTTTTAAATTTTAATCTCAATTTCATAAAATGATCATCAAATTACTAGTAATTATATTTAATATTATATTATAATATATATATATATATATAAATTTGATAAAATTTATTAATATGAATGTTTAGATGAATAATTTTTTAAAATGACAAATAAGATAATAATAAATAATTATAATATATATTATCAAAATAATCAAATATAAAAAACTTTTAAACTAAATCATTAAATAATACAAATATTAAAATATTAATTTAAAAATAAATAAAAGGATATATGATTATTTACTCTGTTTAATATTATTCAAATCTATTTAAAATATTTAAATTTATTTAAATTGATAAGAGTATGCATGAATTATTATTTAAAAATTTTGATTTAAGGATTTGAAAATATCCATCTTAATATATTTTTTAAAAATATCCAGTTAAATAAGCAAATAAAAATACCTTTTTAAATAAATGGATAAAATCATGTTTAATTATTTATATTTTAAAATATTTGATGTAGAATTGAAAACATAATAAATTTTTGCTATTCTATTCTATTTAAAATTTTATTCCTTACTTTCATTCCAGATTTCTTCAAATTATTCATCTAAAAGTATTTTTCATTCATATTTCATTTTCAAAACTTTATTTCCTCTCTTAAATTTTCTTATTTTTATTTTTTTATAATGATTTATACGATCAATAAGAATAAATAATGGATTTTTTTTTAAAAAAGTAATTTTTAGTATGTGATTTATTTTTAAAAATGTTTTTATTTTTTTATTTTCATATAATTTTTTGTTAATATATATTAGTTCTATTACTGTTACTCTAAACTCTATTTTATTATGATGATAAAAACTTTAAATTGAAGTTTTCTAATCATTCTTTTTTTTTTTTTTATAATGAATGGAATCTTTTGATAATGGGTATATGTACGTATAGAGAAGATAAATGCTTAAGGGATTGAGGAATGGTTTAAAATCCGACAAATTTTCTCAGTTCGACTTCTTAAATCTCATTTTAATTTTCAATTTTAAATTTTTTTTATCGATTTCATTATTAAATTTCAATTACACTTTATCTTAATTATCAATTTTTTTTAATAATTTCTTGAGATTTATAAACACTTACTACATTTAGATTTTATGTAAACCTTTTTTTTATATGACAAAATTTTCCTTTTTACCGATTAAGCAATCAAATTTATAAAATGAATTTAATTAAAAATTTCAATGTTTTAAATATTTCTAATATACTTTTATAAATTAGTATGGAGGTCAAACAGTTATTTCAAATTTTTATTAATAAATTATATTTTTATTTTGAAATTATGTACTTTTATTTTATGAAATTAAAAATCAAATCAATGATTTTAACATTAAATATATAAATTAAATTAAAAATAAAAAAGAGAGAAAACACAAATATTTAATGATAAAAATAAAATTTTAAATCTATAAAAATTTTATGTAGATTTTTAATGAATTAAATTAAATATTATTATAAATATAAACATTTCGTGCATTTGCATGAGTAAAAAATTAGTTAATTAATATAATAGTAATAATAATCCCATGAGTTAATATTTAATTTACTGCCAATTTAAATTTTTAATTTTATAAACCATATTAAAATATCGATACATATTTTACTTTTTATTGTTTCAATATATCTTTAAAATATGTTTCATCCTTTTTATAGAATTTAAAAAATTTCACTATTAATGTATTTAATATTTTTTATAATTACATTACTATATAGTTTAATTATTTCCAAACTTATTAAATACTCCAAATCTAATTTCCTTTACTAAGACCTCATTTGGATATAAATGCAAGCACCATAGAGTGAGGTTTGATTATTTTTTCAGTTAAATGTATCACCGGAAGATGTTTGACAAAATTACTAACGATATGATGGAGTATTTTAATCGCATCACTCTCCTCAAATGATATTCTAAATCCTTGGTTCTAATAACATGATTATATTATATATTTTTCAAAAGAAATAATTATTTATCAAAGTTTGATTGAAAAAATATATGACAATATTAAGTGATGAATTTATATTTTATAAATTTTAATTACCAAAAAAGATAATTTTATAATTTTGTTTCTAAAAACTAAATACACTATTTTGTATCAAAAGTTATGATAAAATATTAAACTTTTAACTTTAATAATTATAATATCAAAATTCTAATTCTAATAATCTCAAATATAAAAAAAAAAAAATCACCATTTTGTTAAAACCAAAGACAAAACCTGCAAAATGATGTATGGGAGACTAAAATAATATACCAAATTAAAAAGGGGTTTAAGTTTTATATTAAAGGGGTCGAACTTTATATTATAACTAGAACATTTGCCCGATTACGCTTGGGATTAATTTTTTATTTTAAAATAATATTAATTATTTGAATTTAAATGTATATAATTTTTATTTATGTATGAAAATATAAAAAATTCATAAATTTCAACGTTTTTAAATTTCTTATTTTAGGATTTCTTTGTGAATAAATATATTTAATTATTCAATTTAATTTAGTAAAAAATAGATAAATTGATATATTTTAATAGCTTTTCTTCTAAAAAATCTAAATTTCTTTTTTTGTATCAAAAGTTATGATAAAATATTAATTATCGATATTTTGTATTTTTTGTAAAATAAATTTAGAGATTACTTTTTTTTTTTATTTAGTGATAAGAAGTTTTTGGATTTTATCTAATACATCACTTTACCGATTCAAATAAATTTATTTATATCATATCTTTCCATAATTTTTTAGAAAATTCAAACTTAAGTAATAAGAGAAAAATGTACTCTTTTTACAACTTAAACTAATTATCCGTTGATAAATTTTGAAAATTCTTCAAATAATAATAATAAATTTATTAAATTTTAAAATAAAAATTAATTCAAAGATAATTATTAAGTAATATATGTTACGTAACGAGAGCTTCAATTGAATAATTATTTATTATTGTAATCGAGGGATAACTTTTATATTATGGAATAGATTGTAGAGCAGGCTATTGAGTTGAAGGGCGATGTACGGACTCTATATATACGGTCTTAGCATGTCATTATAACAGTTGAAGCCAAACCATCTATACTTAGTGTCACCACAATCTAGTGAAAATTGAAAGAGCACTACTAATCATGTACAATATTATATTATAATATACGTATGTATATATATATATATATATATATATATATAAGTTTGATAAGTTTTATTTACAGGTAAATGATTTTTGTTTTGACACGCAAAAAAGTTTTTAAAATTTTTTTTTATAATGACATGTAATACATTTTCTAATTTTAAGTTATTTATCAAAAAATATATATTTAAAAATTATTTAATTTTCTAAAATTTTTAAAATTAATTGGATGATTAATTTAATTTTTTAAAATTATTAGTAATAAAATCTAATTTAAATATATTATTTTTGAAAAAATATATTTCCAAATAGTTTAAATATATATCTTTTACAATTTCAAATATAGTGATATATTATCTTTTAAAATATGTTTTTTAATAACATAAATATATTTTTTTAAATCTAAAAAATCTTAAATTTAGTGATATTATAAAATTGATTTTTTAATAATTTAAATATATATCATTTTAAATTTAAAAATTTAAAATATAACTTTTATTTTTAGAGATTTCATAATAGTCCTTTATTATATGGTTATTTTAAATTTGAAGGACTAAATATTACATACATTAGAAGATAACTTATTTTTTAAGGATACTTTCAATTTTAATTTTATTTTATTTTATTTTTTTAAACCTTTATACTTGAAAATAAATGATTTTTTAACCTGTGAAATACACAAATTTTTTTATTATATTTTTATAACTTTTTTATATAAGAGATGCACCAATTCTTTTGCTACATTTTTATGATATGTGCATACACATTAAAAAGTTAAAATCAATATATTTTCTTTTGTTTTTGAAATTTTTATGAAATTTTTAAATATTTTATTTGTTTCAAAGTGTATGCATGAATCTTATAGAAAATTTTTGATAATTCATGGACGTTGGAGCGAGAAAGAAAATCAATATAGTACAATAATAACTTTTTTGAAGTATTTTAGCAATTAGAAAGCAAAAAATATTGATTTAATAGTTTAAACATTATTTATTTATTTAAAAAGATTGTATAGGTTTACTTTTAATTGTTGATTTTATTGTGATTTTTTTATTTTTTAAAAAAATTTATAAATAGAGGTAAATTACTAAAATGCAATACTAATTCTAACATAATTATTTAATATAAAAGTAAAATCATGCCTTTTTTAAAATTAAATTTTATAATTTAATTCTTTTATAGTATTATAGGTTTTTTTTTTTTGGAAGGAAAATATAACTAGTAAAAGCAAAAAGTAAATTATTTTACCTTTAAAATTGATTATAAAATTCTATGAACTGGAATTGAAACATTTTCATTGAAACTTTTTTACAACAAAATTTTAAAATAATTGTTTAAAATTTAATGCTATTAATTAAAATTTAAAACTGTCATTTTAGCTTTTATAGTAATACAATTATACATTAAATGTAAAGTTTAAAACAAGTATAAAAATTAATTTGACAAATCTCACAGATATTGAAAAATGAGATATTACTAAAACTCATACAAAAAATGATCATACAAATAAGTTATAATGCATATTATTTAAACATTTAAAATCATTATTTCTTCAAATAAATAAAATTTATTTTAAAATTATATAAACTTACAGGTGTATAAAAATGATTGCATAGATAAAAATGACATAAATCAAAGAAAGTTAATTTAAAGTG